AGAAAACCAAAGAGTGGGATGTTAATAGTGCAGCCCTAACTGAATATAATAAAGAAATCAAGAAAGCCAAGAGAGCATCGTGGAGGAAGCTATGCGAAGAAGTTGAGTCTTTGCCTCGCAGTGCAAGACTACACAAGATGCTATCGAAAGCTAAACCTAATCAGATCGGGCTTCTTAAAAAGCCAGATGGTAACTTCACTAGCGCCAACCCATTTCCCAGGGTCATAAAAGACTTCAGCCTTAAACTCTTTCAGAGCCCTACGAAGGCCTTGCAATGAGGACTCGCGTAGGGCTGCAAAGATAATAAGGCCAAACCTGGTTCAGTAGGCTGTTGACTCCTTTGAACCATTTAAATCAAGCGGGGAGGATGGAATAATTCCCATCAAACTACAGAGGGGTATCGACATCCTTCTTCCTTATCTGGTGAAAATCTTCAGTGCAAGTTTTGCATGGGGATATATTCCAGAACGATGGACAATTGTCAAGGTTCTATTTATACCTAAGGCTGGTAGAAAGGACTACGCTTTACCAAAGTCCTTTAGACCTATAAGCCTATCTTCCTTTCTTCTTAAGACATTGGAAAAATGTTATAGATGGATGTATAAGGGATGTAGCTCTAGCTACGAGGCCCATACATTACAACCAGCATGCTTACCGCAGAGGCAAATCTACGGAAACAGCCCTGATCAGTGTCATTGACAGGGTCGAAAAAGCACTGGAGGATAAAGAAATAGCTCTTTGTGCTTTCTAGATATTGAGGCCGTCTTCGACAGTAGCCCCACATCACTACTGATTGGGGGCCTAAAATCTAAAAATGTTGACCCCACAACCATCAGATGGGTGAAGTCGATGCTCTCAAACAGAAAGGCAAAAATAAAGCTGTTTCAAACTTCGATTGAGGTTGCAAACACAAGAGGCTGCCCACAAGAAGGTGTTTGCCACCCCTTCTTTGGGCTCTTGCGGTTGACCAACTATTGTACAAAATGACAGACCTACGCATTGACATATTGTGTTATGCTGATGACCTTGTGATCATTGCGAGGGGCTTTTGCCAAAGTACTATATCGTCAATAATACAAAGAGCCCTAAACACCATAAATAACTGGTGTAGGGATAACAGTTTATCACTGAATGCTGATAAAACTGTTATATTACCCTTTACCAAAAAGAGACGGTTGGACAAATTAGTCCAACCAAAACTTAATGGCAAAGAAGTACCATTTTCCACGGAAGTTAAGTACTTGTGCGTAACAATCGACCAAAAACTGACGTGGAACTTTTTTCAAAAACTTAAATCTCACCTTAGCAACGTATGCCATAAGACAAAAATTGCTTTAGGTACGTGCAGTCGTTTGGTCGGGAACAACTGGGGCTTGCGTCCCAGTATGGTCCTATGGCTATACAGCAGCATAGTGAGCCCGATTCTCACCTACGCCTCTATTGTTTGGTGTAACAAGGCCAACCAAAAGACGACTGCGGACAGACTAAACAGTCTACAAAGGACTGCTTGCTTAATGGCAACTGGAGCTATGCGATCATCGCCTGGAGCGGCTCTTAATGCACTTCTATGCCTAACGCCCCTTGATCTCTATCTAGACAAGGAGACGAGGGCTAGTTTGTATAGGATTAACGCCCAGGGCGGTCTGAGCTTGCTCTCCTATAGATTGAGATCCATGCTCGACTCAATTAAGGAATTACCGGTCTTATTCATGATCATGAATAAACTTTTGATAAAAAGTATATAGTAGAATTACCCTCCAGAGAAGACTAGCTGAATGGACAGGTTATCTGCGAGGTCGTTAGCCTCATATGATATACCGATGGGTCTAAAATGGGCCTCGACGTAGGTTTTGGAATTTACGGGGTACGCCCTAAATTCAAACTTAGTATGAATTTGGGTAGATACACCTCTATCTTCCAGGCAGAAATTTTCTCCATACTTCGGTGTGCGGAAATCAATCTGCAAAAACACTACGTCAACCATAAAATTTACATAAACTCTGATAGTCAAGCAGCACTGCTAGCGCTGAGATGAAACTTAGTGAACTCAAAGCTAGTTGGAGACTGCGTGAACCGTTTAAACCCCCTGGGATGTAACAACAGGGTCGTTTTAAGGTGGGTTCCGGGTCACAAGGGTATTGTAGGCAACGAGTTTGCCGACAGACTTGCACGGGAGGAAATTGTGGAATCTCAAGAAGCCTAGCCCGATTGACCCTTGAAACTCTTTATCACAATAAATCACTTAAGATCTGGTCTGACACACCAGGCTTCACATTCTAAAACCTTAATCCGGGCTTTTGATCGTAAATTCGCTTCAGAAGCCCTGGGATTAAGTAAAAATAAATTGCGCATTCTGGCAAGAGCCCTAACTGAACACTGTTGTCTTAAAAAGCACATGTCCATCCTGCGACTAAGCAACTCAAATTCTGTTCCATAACGGAATAAACGCCTCTACATCTCCCTCGTCTCTACACATCCTAAAACCGATTGCGGACCCTTAATGTGTAAACGTAACACTCATCTGGGACACTATCTACTCCGCCCAAAAGAAGTGAAATTGCTCACGGCTAAGCAATTCCTTCGATTCATTGAAGATATAGGGCTTAGCCGTGAACTATAGCCATAGCAGCGATCACAATAGATCTTTTAGGTCGCAGTGATACTGGTCTCTTTACCTAGACCTGCAAAGCTGCTCGCATATAATTAAAAAAAGAAATCCCTTTCCGACTCTGCCATTTACTTCTACAACATAAATTTTCTTTGTCATTCTCTCCTCATTCATTCTTTCCACATGACCAAACAACCGAAGCATTCCTTTCTTAATCCTGGTCACAACATAATCTTGCAAACCACAGTCTTCTCTTATCACACAATTTCTCACCCTGTCATTCAGATTCAGCCCTAACATACTTCTTAACGACCGCATTTCTACTGCGTTCATTCTACTCTCGTGCTTCTTCTGCTACACCCAACTTTCACTACCATACGTTAAAGTACCAACACAGCATTGTGAATTGCCATACATGCCTTTTTCGACACATTTTGACTCTTCACAATAGAGTGTATGCAGGCAATAGAGTAAATGTGGCCCTCATTTACTCTATTGCCTGCATTCACTCGTCGTTCTATATCCTTATTACATCTCCCATCCCTGCTAAATACGATACCCAAATATACAAACTCATTTACTTGCTCGATCAACTCCCCTTCTATTCTTATTTCACATATCGTTTTACTTTCTTCTCTTTCAAAAACCATAACTTTCGTCTTACTTGCGTTCACTTTCATACCCCTTTCTTTTAGTGATCTGTTCATTAATGTAACCATCATTTGCAACTCGGCCGCCGATGACGCAAGAATAACTTGATCATCTGCGTACAAAAGGCATTTGACGGTTAACTCATTATATATACTCATTATATATAACTCAAAACACCCATTCTTAATCCGCATTCAACTTTCAAATTTTGCAAACAACTGTCCATAAATAGGTTGAACAGCCACGGGGAAGCCACACAGCCCTGTCTGACACCTTTGTGGATGCCAAACCAGTCCGAGTAGACCCCGTTGATCCTAACACAAGCACTAGAGTCTCTATAAAGAGACTCCAATGCCTGTATCAAGCCAGCGCTCAACCCAAATGAGTTCAGTGTTTGCCATAGCACATCCTTATCCACTCTGTCATAGGCCTTTTCCAAATCCATGAACGCACAGAAAACCTTTTGGTTTTTGGTCAAAAACTTCTCCGCGATCATGCGCATGGAAAAGACTTGATCTGTACATCCCATTCCCTTTCTAAATACCGCTAGTACATCCCAAATTTTTCCATCAGTTTCTGTCATGACCCTTTCAATCAGTACTTTAGCATACAGTTTTCCCACAATGCTAAGAAGGCTGATACCACGGTAGTTTTACAGCCCTGCTCCGACCCTTTTCCTTTATATACTGGGACTATCACGGCTTTGCACCAGTCTCCCGGGATTTTATTATATACTTTTATACACATATTGGAACAACTCTTCTGATAAAAGACAGTTTTACATTTTCTAAAATTTATTATTATCATGTACATATACAACATGTAACAAAAACCCTGTGGTTCCCGTTAACTGCGATATCATAATCAGTATCCAAGCTATAGAAATATTTTTTTTTCAAAAAAAAAAATTTAATAAATATTTTCATGAAAAAAAAATTTATTAGCAAATTGTATGTGGTTTTATTATCTTTACATTGGTCGAGGAGTATGATTGTCAAAGTCCCCGCATTACCGATACTCATGTGAATTAGAGAAAATAAAACCACATACAATTTGCAAATGAATTTTTTTTTTTGATTAAAATTAATTTTTTATAATGTTTTTTTTTGTACAATTATTTCTATACGCTTGGATACTGATTCTGATAACACACTTAACCTGAACCACAGGGTTTTTGTTACATATTGTATAGATGAAGAATTTTCTTCTATATCGTACAGGCATATTACATACATAAATTGCACATAGATAAACATCCATTCACAGAACATCTATTTGCGAAAAAAAAAACTATTTGTTCTGTGCGAGGTTAGAATTCGTGGCCCTACAACGTTCCATATAAACTTTTAGCCACTGCGCTATCGAGCCGTTGAAAGTCGTTGTAATGGGATCTATATATTTAAAAGTAAAAATATCCACGGTTTCAAGGCCCACATAATCCGATTTTATAGTTTTAAAAAGATGCCTGGTGTGTTGTATACATTTGTAACTTAGTAATGGTTTAACCTCTTATTCTCTTAACGAAATTATGATGTCGTCTTTAAACTACTATTTTTTGCTACTAAAGACAGGGTTGAGTTATCGTATTCGTTATATATTAAAATAGATTTCGATGTTTTTTGAACAAATAAATCGAACTTACAGCTAGGTATCATCGTTGATACACAGACCGAATTGTGTTCTCAGAAAAGAAAAAGTAAGTAAACTAAAACACAATAATTTTGAATAAACGCAGTTTATTTTACAAGAATGAATCCGTTCCAACAGAAGCGTCAGCTTTAGGCGGTCGTAGTTTCTCCAGTAATGGTATCGCCACTCCCACTAGCTCGTCCCAAGCAGCCAAACGCCGGCAAGGTTCGCAGCCACATTCGTCCTCGCCTAAAGTATCCCCTTCCTCAAAACCCAGATCCTCGCCCGAATGGCCCGTGCGATCCCAATCTTCGTCGCCAGACCCATGGTGCAAATCTTCACTTACACTTAGAGCTTTAGCAATCGCGGGTTTGGCATCTACAGCCCGATGGGTTTCACTGAAATCCGTTCCATTGTTGTTTTCTATGTCGAATTTTACCTTAGAAGAGAAATTAAATTATTTGTAATAATACATATGCCAAAACGCTTATACATGGTGTATACATGGTGTTTTAATTCAAGCGCGAGGATTTAGACAAATCCTACCAAAATGGAAGAGGCCTATATCGAGATGTATATTTTTAAGGGTTATTTAAGAAGCAGGATTTAATATACACCGTAATGTTCTTACGTGGTAGAGCCATATTGCTGCTATATTAGTAGTATAGTTGTAGCACGAATAGCTCGGCTTGACTGGGGGAGGGACCGCGCTCTCAAATATCAGCGTGAAATAACAGCTTAACGCTGCTGTATTTCGTATGGTGAGTGTAGAAAACTGGAGATTCATTTTACTGGACCCGAGGCATTCCATCTTAGTCTTCGCGGGTGACAATACATTTTCATTTTGATTCGTAGTCGAGGATAGATGTAGATGTATACGGGGTACAGCAGCCACTAATCATCAGATAGATTGTGTGCTCGTTTGTCACCCTTATCCTATAAAAATATCACAATGTTTTCCTAATAAAATATAAGGAAGATCTAACAACGATTTTCTTATCATGACAACCTGGAAGTGCCAGTGTATACCATATACCAGATGTAAAATACTTAGACCGGTGACAGAGTAGCGTCAAAGTATCGCTCGTTTCAATAATGTCAAATCTATTTCTCATTCCGACATAAAAAAACTTTGAAAAAAAGTGTTTTATAACATCGATTATAATTATAACTATAAATAAAATGTAAATGTTTTTTTTTTCAAAAACTTAAATCTCCTAAAGTTTTACGCAGTAGAGCCACGCTGCAGTTATATTATAGTAGTAGCAGAGTCGCCTCAAACGGGCGAAGGACCACGCTCTCTCAAACTTTTCTGTTTTTTCTTTTTCATATAACCAGGCAGCAACAGCTACGTCACAGAGAGTGACGCATACCGGACCGGTAACCGGTCGATTGCCACAAGAAATTATGTTACAATTTCGCGTTCGAGTGAATCAAATTAAATTTTTTTCATCAATCGCTGGATTTGTCAATTGCAATTTTAAATGCTAATTTTTAAGGCACTAGAGACAAATTATAATATCATTGCGAGGAACCCTGTCAGTCAAACATATTAAACAAATCATTAATACATATAGGTGCTTTTTGCACCGATTTGTGTCAGCTTGAAGCAAGATAGAGGCCGTGAAACAATTTTTTACTTTCATGATTTTTGAATTCGGAATTAATTTTTTTAAAAAAAGCCCCGGACAAAAAAAAAAAAAAAAACACCATTAGCAGCTTAATACTGCTGTATTTCGTATGGTGAGTGTAGAAATCCGGAGACCCTTTTTACTGGAAACGAGGAATTCCATCTTAGTCCTCAGGGATGACAACGTATCTGCGTTTTGATTCTTAGGTATTTCTTATTCGAGGATAAATGTAAATCTTTATGGGCCACAGCATCCACTTACCATCAGGTGAAATGACCAGCAGTGTGTCATATATAGGCTGATACTTTATTTTTTATAATATTTGTAATCTATATCTCTACAGTACTCACGAAATGACTTTTAGATATTTCCGAATCACTTGCGCGGCGTTCACCAGCTCGCGACGCCTCGCAGGCCGTGAAAACTGAGTCATCGTCTGGCAAAAAATAAATAAACATAAATACTTATATAACATAAACATATTAAATAAAAAGAAACAAAAATCTCTATGTATGTCTTTGAAATATGGCGGCCAATTGAGTTTAAGTAGGAATATTTTATTAGTAAAATAGGTTTAAACTTTAAATTCCAATAAATATATCTTGGTTTATTTCATTGACACTTTATTACTAAATAACAAATTGGTTTTTATTTATTTATTTTTTAAATATTTACCGCCTAGTAGTAAAAGATTTATTAAAAGAACTTATATAACCAATTGATAACTCTGGATGGAACAATAAACAAAGTTTAAAGTAAAAACATAACATAAAGTGGCTGAAAGATTGTAGTCTCTTTAAAAGAAATATAACCACAGATGGTAATCTGTGAATATAACAAAATCTTTAAAAATGCTAAAAAGTTCAGTGATGACCCCGACGTGATTTGAACACGCAACCTTCTGATCTGGAGTCAGACGCGCTACCGTTGCGCCACGGAGTCATTGACAATTAGAGTGAAATAAATGTTTTTATCTTACGTAGTTTAAATATGCACAGATACAATATAATAATATATTTATCTTATATTTACTGTAAAATTACTGCTTTATTACAGATAACGGATCAACAATAGATTTGGAACCATATTGTCAACTTTCGTAATATTTCTTTGATCTGAAACAAGTTAGAATAACAACAAAACAAATGAAATTATTACGTTATGTAAGCACATGTACATAGCGTTATAATTTTCGAACACCATAATTTGTGATGTATCCTACGTTTTGTTACGTTGATAACTTCCGATATAGGTAAAATGTCAAAACCATATTACTAATAAACAACAAATGAATATGTATCTTTTCAATACCAGGTCATTTACAACAGAGTTCTTAAATTATATTATTGTGATAACATACTGATTAATATGTGAACGAATTTAATTAAAAATTTCACCCGTATTTTTTCTACCTTTATAAATTGTTTTTTTTTTTAAAATAACATTAAAACTTATTTTAAGGCAACCTTGAAGGGGTTGTAAAAATAATCCAGGAACTGACACATTGACACCATATAGATGGTGCTTTTTGAGTAACTACTAACTATATAAAATACGGTTAGGCTACATAGTTGTACAAAGTACAAATAAGTTGTACGTAACGTGGTTCAAGTGTTATCCACTAGATGGCACGAATTGTTTCTTCACTCGCGGTCTTGAGATTTTCTGCAAATGAATGTGTACAGCTCAGTGAGCGTATCAAAGCATACTTACCTGGCGTAGGGGATACCGTGATCAAGAAGGCGGTTCCCCCAGGGTGAGGCCTTTCCATTGCACTGCGGTTAGGTTGACCCTTGCGATTATCCCTAATGTGGATAACTCGGACGCGTAATTTTTGATAGTGGGAACTGCGTACGCGCTGTTCCCCTGTGTAACATAATCTAAATAAACAATTTGCGTTATTGCGTCTGCGCTTTGCGCTATTTCTTTGGATAGTCAGGTCAGGCTACGAAATTATATTTGTCTAGAGGTGGGTAATATCACTTTTAGTTTTAGGCTATATCAAATCGTACATATGTATTGGAAACGAATATCTGATATTGTTTCTAAATATATGAAATCTATATATTTGTTCATGTTTTCGTTATATTTAATGAATATTTTTTATTGTTTGTTTATGCCATCTAGCGTATTTTGTGCGTACCACCTTGAGAATTAACCAATTTTTGTACGATAAAATCATTTTACGTATAAAATGAAGTAGATGGCGCTTATACAAAGTATTATTTTACTCGTTTACTCCAAAGAATACATTTTTAATTTATTACACTTAACTCAACGCCCACCATTACTTAACTTCTCAAATAGTCCCATATTGTGCGTGTAAGCGGACGGGACATTGTTATATAGGTTTAATTGGTTCTACACAATGTCTAACACTAAACTCGAATTAATTTGTTTAAAAAATGTACAGTATCTACCTAATATCTAAGCATCTATATAATATTTTATGTTACACTACTTTTTATACACAAAAACAGTTCAAACTTAAAAAAAAACTATCATAAAACAAAAAAATTATCAAATTAAAATTTCGAAACCGAATTACAAACGAAAGTGAGCCGAGAAATTACATAAAATATGTCATCTGCATTCAAATTACGCGACGCAATGCACGATGCATGTGAACGAAACTGAAAATAAAATTTAAAAATAGAACACAGAAGCTTTTTTTGGTTGAAAGCCAAAGCACAAGAGCAAACAGGTACCTACTTCAATGTTTCAATGTCAGTTTCAACTTAAATTTTCAGGTCGTGTTGTACCGTAGAAAAAAATTTATTATATTAAATAAAGGAGGGCAACAAATAAGTGTTACAAATATTTAAAATTAATTGGATTAAAAATAACATTCTATTAAATACACAATAAGATCTATAGTCGTTTATTTCGAAAACATTGCAACACAACAAAATATTAATAAAATACCGCTTAGACTGGATATTAAAAATGATGTGTTCTGTAATTAATCGTATGTTACTACTAATAAGGATTAATATTAATAATATTAAGCGTAAGCGTATCACCTTTTAGTTGTGAAATAGTCGTAATATCAGTTTCACATAATATATATATTCTATCGCGCTCACGGTTTGTTCGGTATACGAATCAATGTATATATTTAGATATTTTACGTTTTCATTTCGAGTAGATATTAGATATTCTGCGATTCAGACACCGTGTATTGCCGCGGCAGCGATATCGTAATATCTAATATATAGTTGGTTTGTCGTCCGTTAAATTATAGATGTTGAATATTGTACTGATATATAGATATTGTATCTATATATACGATTTGTATCGCCCACTCCTATTTTTGTCAATAAAATAGTAAGTTTATGTTTATGATTTGTGCACTATCGTCTTAATTACACCACCTTTTGCCGTAATTAGTTAAGGCGGTACCCTGACCAAAACCTGGCAAAAGTGCGTTTTTCAGAGACTATTATCTCATTAGTTATGAGAAATAAGCTACATCTAAAAGCACATTATTAATGTTCGATATCCTATCATCACATTCCACGTTCTAATTTGTTTTTATGTGTTATGAATACATTTAAAATCCACTTTTAAAAAATGACTAAAATTATTGATTACATGCATCTGTTGCTAAAGGAAATGCTCTAATCATTTGAGAATTACACTAATGGATAGATAATTTAAAAATCTATATTCTACACGTTTTATTTAATTTCTTAAGTTCCCTTATCTCTTTTAATTGAAATAATTCCAAATATTCGGGCGTATTTTTCCGTGATATATTGTAGCGAGAGCGCGTGGATTGTATGGGACTGAACGCTCAAGGTCTCTCGCTAGGGGAACCGTCTTAATTAGTATGATTGCGAAGTAGGGAATCCATATGTCAGTTCCTGGATTATTTTACAACCCAAAGATTTAGATAATATCGCACAAGAAATAGTTTCCGGGTATATTTCCGAGCGAATAAAAGCTCAATCATATACCTACTAATAAGGCGGGTTAAGGACTAAGGTATGTGTATATTTTATTCGGTAAATGTAATTAATTTTTTTTATTGCGATTACAGTTTAAATTTTTTTATTATCTGTTAATAATCCGGCTGATGATGATGAAGATGAAATTCAATAAGTTATCAAAGTTTGCGCGAATTTTTATTCGCAATATCATCAATTATATCGTCGCAGAAATTTTTGTTCACCAGCTGACAAAATCGGTAAGGCGTTTAGCTTTTTGTGCTTATTGTAAATCTTCGATAATCTTTCACCCGCTTTAAGCAAGAAAAGCTTCTCTCACCCGAACAATAAAGCCATGTGATTTTCTGTATAAGTTAAGGAAAAACGTTTTGAAAATTCTGTTTTCGCAGGAACGAAGATTTTTCAATGATCCAGAATCAGGATTCACAAAAATTCATTCATTCAATGATTCATTCGCTGCAAATGTAACTTGGTAATTCTATATATTTATATGGGATTACAAAGTTATTTATGCAATTGGTGTATCTAGGAAACTGGACCGAAGTTGAAACATATTTTAGTTTTTCCTTGATTTATACACTGAACACTAGTTGTATTCTAAATTTGAAGCTTCTATGTCTGCTAGAAATGCCTTAGAGTTTTGATGATCGGTCAGTCAGTGAGTGACAAAATTAAGAAATTTTAATTAGTTATATTTCTTAAACTACAAGTTTATATTATTCAGTCTATTACCACCAGTTTGTATTATTCAGTCCCTACTTAAAGGTCTTTCTGTTTTAAGTTATTTCGTAATTAGCTAACCTAACAACATTTTGTAGTGACCATATCAATGTTAAAATCTTTTATGATTTAAATATATAGATTGACTTGGCAATCGCACTCATCAATTTAATTTAATATAATATGTGTTACTTGTGAGATACATTGTGTTTCAGTTCATTCTATTACATCGATCTCACAACTTTTTAAGGTAGAAGAACTGAGTTGCGAGACTTGGTTTTTTTTTACAAGTTATGTTTTTGATGGCACGCATTTTCTTCAAGATACTTAAAATTTTCTTGTTCCCTTGGAATCTCTTCAATCAGAATCAGTTCAAATATTCTACGCTGTGTAAACTACAGATGTTAATGTTCCTGGTCTTCTTATACATTATGTATAGATACTATTTACCTTTTGCATAGATACTATTTAACAACCTTAAGTAATGGCGATTACTGCTTGATTGTACTTTTCTTTACAAAGTTTGTCGTAACTTTTTCGATTGCTCTCGATTTGTCAATTGAATATACCTTCGTGTACCAAGTCGCACGTAAAGAATACGAAACACGCACGTGCATCGTTTGTTTTTCTTTAATCTGTGCAAAACAAATGCGGACAAGCGCGCGGCTTTGCGTCGCATAATGGAACTGTATGCCAACAGCTTCTCCGATGGAGACTTATTTACCATGTCCCTAGCTCAATTTAGAAAAGCCATAAAAATTGTATTGAATGACTTGTTATTTTTTTTCTTATAATCTTATAACGTTATTCTATTTTTTTTTCTATGTAATACATGTGTAACATTCATGATTCTGCTGTTAACGGCTAGGTATGCATTGTTGCCTCTAGTTTTTTTAGTTTTTTTTTATATTTGTGTTCTTTGTGCCTTATTAGCTTAAACTTTAATTAGTACGGTAATTTTCTGGATAATGGCGTCGGTTGTATAATTAGTTTATCTATTTACATAAGGTTTGAATTGTAATTTTATTATACATTGTTTGTTGTTGTTCTTAATAAAACAAAAAAAAACCTAAATTTGAACATTTACTTTAACATCTCACACAACAACCATTTTCAGTTTTTCTAAATTCAAAAGTATTGCTATCGCTTCGCGTTACAGACTTTTCGGAATTATTATATCACCCTTGATTGATTGATTCCAAAGTTTTAAGGACTTCGTACCGATTATCTTTGAAATTTCCACAAGCGCTCTCTTTAGCTGACCAACGTGTCAGATCTACTCTCTTTAGCGTTTTCCCTTTCTTGATTTGAGCCATTATTCTTTTTCAGCGTTGTGTTGAAGTTATTAAAAAAAACGTTAACTTCTTGAAGCAACATGAAGAAGCGACAAACTTCTGTGCAACATTTAGCAGCTGTAGTTGCCACTAAATTTAAAGAGTGGGCAGAGCAAGGAACGAAAAGTTTTTTGAGTTCCGAGATAATGGCGGAAAATATTTCTTTAGCTTACCTTTTAAAATTTAAATCTTTTTGATCAATTTTATTTAAAAAAAAATTGCCTGAAATTTGTCGCCCCAAAAATCTGCCGCCCTGGGCTCCAGCCCTGCTGGAAACCCGCCACTGACCACGTCAAACCAATTCGTTCTAAAACTGTAGCTGTAGCATGGCTCAACTATAAATTATAATTATTTATAATGTATGTTCTAGGTGCATTCCAAGAGTAGAGTAGAGTTCTCGTTTACGATCCTAGAATGGCCATAAAACATTTTACGATAGTGACTTCGGAAAGTTGCGAAAGCTAATTTGCATTAAACTGCATTTTAATAACTAATAAAGGATGCGGTTAACACGCGATACAAGGAACACTACTAAATATTATTACGTTGTTATTAACCAGAGCCTGACTCATTGCAAAACCAATTACATTGTGACTTTCGCAATTTAAACTTTTACCTACATTTTTGTAAATAACTTAGTTGGGAACTCTAAATTACAAAAAAAATGGAACTTCATCATTTCCTTGACGAAAAACCTTTTTACGATAAAACAAAACTATCATTGAAAACTTAAATTAATTTAATTGAAAAATAAAATACAGAAAATGTGACTTATTGGACTGCGCCTGAAATAGCTGAAGCTTATCTATAAGTACATATAAACAAAATCATAAATAATATTTAAATAAATCATTTTTTATCTGTTTGTCTTGCTTACTTAACGCAAAGCTTGGGCTTGTTTCATTTAAATCGGCTAATAAATAAAAATATTTGTCAATTCAAAGAAGTATAAAGAGCGTCCCGATAAACGTGACGAGTGCACAAGTCTGAAGGAAAAGCGCTTCTCGACTGCTTCTTTCGGCTTGCACTGACATAACGACTAGAAAAACATGAAAAAAGTGTGATATTGGTAAAAATTGGATATAATTTAATGTAATCTGTTTTAATCCCAAATTTAAATTGACAGCCTCGTACCAGTAAGCGAAGTAACTAGGCTCTCCACTGGATAGAATATCGACCTGGTCAAACATGCAAGAAATCAATATTGTTGCAGGTAGCTCAGATTATGGTTGTGGCATTCTTTGGGGGCGACCTACGTTCATCAGTCGATTTGTGAAGGCATGAATTGACGATAATGATAAAATCTTTATTAAAAAATGGAAAGAAGATAATATAGGCAGTCGTCATTGCTTGTCAGTCGGGTATATAGTGAAGTTATAAGAAATTCGTTAAAGAGTTAAAAGAAGGGGATTTTTTAGAATAAATTAAATTACGAAGACACAGAGAAGTTGTTAGAAATTCTATAATAGTTTGTATACTACTAATGTAACAGCTGACAAATAATTGTTATTTAGTTACTTTATTTATTATATACTTAATATAGTTTAATTATTTAAATTATCTAGTGTCCTACATTATTAAACCCATAATGTGAGCTGTAAATGATGATCTGAAACACAGGTCCAATTCTCCCCCCCCCCCCCCCATCAATATGGTAGCGGAATTAAATGTTAGACTACCCCAGGAGGGTACTGATACCTCTGAAGAATCCCTCGCTGAGCATCCACGACCAAGCTACTCCACTCCTGAGCGTGGGTGTTTAGGCTAACCAGCGTATTCAGGGGGGGGGGGTCAAAATCCCGCTCAAGACAATAACTACTCGGGGCTAGCTGAACAACCAAGGCGAACCTTGCCATGCTATCCATGAATGTCTGCAATATCAGGGTACTTCACTCAAACTTAAACGCAGTCCACTACCATCTCGAGACGGCGAAGCCGGCTCTTCTCTTTCTAACCGAGACGCAGGTGTCCTCTCCGGATGATACTTCGTATCTCTCCTACCCGATGTACAAACTGGACTGTCTTGAAGGTTCGGACCCGTCAATCCTTTGGCTACGCGTAGACAGCGACAACCATCCGTATGTCTACGGGTGCTTCTATAGGCCTCACAGCGGTAATGCGGAAACAGACCGACTCTTCGACCACGTCCAAATGGCTACAGATTCATTGTTACAGGAGATCATGATCCTCCGCAGAGATCGTGATCCTCGGCGATTTTAACGCCGACCACGCCGAACTTCTTGGTTCACGTTTAACCGATCATACGGGGAGATCTGTTCATGATAGTTCCTTGGCACATGCCAAAGAAAAATCATGAACTTCGCCTACGCGGATTCCAGACGTGGAGGATCATGCACCTTCCCTGTTGTACCTTCTGCTGACTTTGGACATTGCGAAGGCCTTCGGTCGAGTTGGGCACAAAGCGCTTCCTTCGACACTCGAAAATACCATCCACACCATCTGGATGCTTGGTGGTCCACCACTGTACGTTTTACTAGTAGTTTCCTTCCGCGTTTTTCCGGACCGATACGAACTCGGAACCTTCAACAAAAGAGCTTACTCCTCCCTAAAAGCTAGGCAACGCACCTGCAATTCCCCTGGTGTTGCAGTTGTTCGTGGGCGGCGGTAGTCACTTAACATCAGGTGAACCATATGCTCGTTTGCCCCTTCTCCAATAATAAAAAAACGAGTACTCAACCTAGTTTAGGTACATAGCTAATGATAATATTAACTTGACTTTTAAATTTATTTTTTGTAGATTCTACTTTATTAAGCTACACATAGTTTACCTTTTATTACTTATGGTATGCTATGTTTGTTTAGACTTTTGACTTTTTTGTTTTATCAAATTGTAATCATTTTTGTTCCTGTTTGTAAACATGTGTAATTGGAAATGAAATAAAAATCATTTATTATATTATTATTTACGACTGCCTCGTTGGTTTAGTAGTTGTAGTAGTGCGACCGCTGATCATGAGGTTCTAGGTTCGAATCCCGAATTGGGCCAAAAAATTAATTATTGAGTTTTTCCGTCAATAAATTCTCAGTAGTTGCCCAGAGTCAGGAATTTGGCAGTGTCTCACCCCCGTGCCTCGGAAAGCACGTAAAGCCGTTGGTCTTGCGCCTAATCTCTCTCCGGTCGTGTCGGTTTACCGTCACATCAGATTATGAGAGTGAGGGAATAGAGAGTGTACCTGTGCTTGTACACTATAATACTGTCCTGCGCCGATGACTAGTCTCCGTTGAGGCAGGCCGGCGTGGCCGAAATTCGGTCTGGAAGACATTATTATTATTATACATAGAATTGTTTGAGACTGACCGAGGAAGGCGGCGAGTGCCGCGGTGATGAGGTGCGCGTGCGCGGGCGCGAGCGGGCGGTGCGCGTGCGCGTTCCACAGCGCGCGCGCGAGCAGCGCCGCCGCCAGCACGTCGCGCGCCGCCGCCGCGCAGCGCAGTGCCACGCCCGCCGCGCGCGCACCTTCCGCGCCCGCCGCGCCCGACCCGCACACGTTCACCAACACGCCCGCCGCCGCGTACCGCACGCTGCCCTCCTCTGCCCAAACCAGTCGGGAAAAGCTTTCAGTCGTAGGACTACACGTCTTAAGTGAAAACTTCTTGGTTTCACAAAATATATATATATATATATATATATATATATATTAGAGATGGGCCGAATATTTACATTCGGTATTCGGCATATTCGGCAGCTTTACCGAATATTCGGCTAAATCACCGAACATTCGTTTCCATAGTGTCCAATGTATTGAAATGTACGAATTGAGTAATGCGATGTCTTTTACTGTTGAAAGTATATATTACATATGGGTTAAATCTACTTACACTAGAGTGCCTCAAATGCAAAAATCTATACATTTATATTTTTTAGGCACTGTGTATTTATTTTCGATTATGGCAAATAGAAACACGATAAAATGTTTTTGGAATCAAACAAAGAAACATTACATTACATTAGTACATTTCACTTTACTTTGGTCGTCAGTTTCTCTAAAATAAGTCCAAATAGTAAATCTCCCGCCGCTCATTTTTATCATATAATTATCAATTTTCACTAAGAATAAAATTCTTACGGCCTCGTACTAATAATTTTAATTTAATGAATTCACTAAGAATAAATAGCCGTGGTAGCTCAGATGGTTAGCGCGCTCTGTAAAGGGGGACGCCCATTTTCGGCCATGGAACGCCCAACAATGTGCATTTGTTAAAAAATTATATCTTTATTTATGGTTATTAATCGCGGTATTCATTTATCCTCAAACAATGGGAATATTTTTGCACAAATTAAAAGTACCGGAAACATAATAATAAAAATTAGGTAAATCATTATGTCATTAGTTTGTGAATAAAAAAAAAGTGTTGCCAATCACAAAACACATTTAAAAAATCGATTCTCTTTTTCGATCGATTATTTACGGTGTCATCATTACAGTGCTAATATAATTTTTAAATAATTATGATGTTACGATAATTAAACAACGAATTACTAGCTGATTTCCAATGAATTCTTTAGAGAATAACAAATGCTACGGCACAATTTAACTGTTAATCTTAACCGATCTTCTTTGAAAACAGATAAGAACTGTTATTCTTATCTGTTTTTAAAGAAGATCGGTTAAGTTATTCTTATCTGTTTATAACAATACACTTAAAATAGAATCATGTTATGATAACGAAACAAATTAATTTCCAGCTAATTTACCATGAATCCTTTAACCTTTTGAGCGCCAAAGTCGCCTATACTTGACCAACACCTGCGGGCCCTGAGCGCCAACGACGTCTATAGTTGACAAAAAACCCGGCTCCGAAAAATATGAAATATAGATATTGGAAAATTATTACAGGTATTTTAATTCTACACTCCTCAAAATAGGAATAACCCAGCAACAAATGAAAAAATGTGAGTATAAAAAACAAGTCTTCTAGAGCCACAAGTACTAAGAAACATTGAACTAATAAAAATGGATTTTTATCTAAGCAAATACTATGTCCAGCACGCCAAAGTCGTCTATGGTTGACGCAACCATTGAAAACTATCCAAAATTCAGCTCAATGGTGTTTTTTTTTCTATTATTATTGATATTTGAATAAAATTAAAGGTTAGAAACATAAAACTATAATTAGCTACATGAATAAAAAAATGTTATCAGATTATCTTCGCATAATAAATCTAATATCTCAACTCTAACGCATCTTTAGCGCGTCATCGAAAATCAGTTCACTGGGCACCGTGATCAAGGATAGACGACACCCTGATGACCTCATAAGTGATTACCGAGAAAAGTAGAGCAATGCAACATGAACGATTCCTCAGAACTCATTCGGATTTTGGAAAGCATCGATGATGATGAATTTTGATTTTTGATTGATGAATTGTGATGAAATGTTTATTTATTCCATGACCAAGATTTTAGTATTATAAGGCTGATTTACCTAGTGCGAATAATTATATACAATTGTTGATTAATGAATAATTATGTACCTTTTTTAATAATAATACAAAATTACAATTAATGTTTTTTTACTTAAGGTGTGAAGAGCAATTTTTCATTTTGTGTTGTGCCATTTTCTTTCTCAGTCTCAAAATCATCTAGCAGCATCAGCATCATATCAAATCCCCATTGTCATAAGAGTGTAAGACTTTTCTTCTGTGCTTCACTTGGTCTACGCCTTCCCCGACACATAAAATATTATGAATCGATGTCTGTATATTTCGGTTAGATCGATTTTGAAATCGATACACAACATTCTAAGAATGTTTAAAAAAAGGAAGGTCAGCTACGCCGTTGTCGTCTAGTCGTGACAGTGTTGTCATTAGGATGGAGAGTAGTGCTGTGGTTTACTACTATTTTATTGTTATTGTTTGTTTTTATTTATGTTTATATGTACAAAGTACATATATAAAAAGAGTGGATGACAGCACAAGATTAAATAAAACATACAGTTTATAAAGAGTCATTTATAGCATAAAAAACCAACAAAAACAAGTTATTTTACGTTATCGATATATCAACTCTTGGCAACACTATTTTGTTTTGGCGCTTTGGCGTACAGGACACGGTAATGCGTTTTTAGCGTGGCGCTCAAAAGGTTAAAGCTAAACAAAACGCTACTGCACAATTTAACTGTTCTTAAAAATACATTTCAAATAGCATTTAAATAAATAAAGGAAAATATATTTTAAAAAGTGTGCAGAACTTAAAGCACCTCAAAGATTGTTTTTTAACGATATTATTAATCGAATAAAAATCGATATCTTTTCATCTATTTTATGTCAGTTAAGTGGCAACATCGAGTCTGACAGCTAGGCCCTGTCATGGAATGAAATCACAATTCAGTTCATATTTCACAACTATATCTATACCTATATAAATAGTCACATGTAGAATTCATTTGCGTGTTTGTTTTTATTTTTGTGAATTTGTTATCGAAATAACGAACTAGCCTTCAAATACGACATCCAACTAGCGAACAGGAAAATTCACCAATTAATAGTCATGGACATGTATGTATCAGCTGTGGCAAGTCACTTTTGAGAATAAGATCACACACATTGTTTGGGTCTGATTCTCCACGTGAGGAACTCATAAGGAATGAAATTGCCCATCAAATTGCACCACGTGAGGTACGTATTCAACATTTTTAATTTATTAAGTGTGTGGGCTCATATCTGATAGTGATACATGTTTTTACTCTGATTACATCCACACAAACTATATCTGACAAACATACAAGCTTATTTATAACATGGCGATAAGATTAGCTTGTCACCACCAGATAGACTGCTACCGTTTTTACCAACTACCAAGTAATGAGACAATTGATTTTTCATTGTTTTTGGACTACTGGTAGTTTTTAAGTGCTTAATTATTAAATAATATAGGCCATTAAGTCTGCTTTTGTGCACTAACAATTAACTTGATAAATATTTTATATGTATTTGAGTTTAAAGGAAACAAATCTATTTTATTTTTATTTAGTTCACTTTTTCACTTTTTTATTTAATATTATTTCAGTTGCCATCGTCATCTCGTGTGTGTCATAATTGTTGGCGAAGGTTTGATAGAGCAGCATCACATTCAACTGCAGAACGGGAACCATCTGAATCATCTAGTTCATCCTCGTTGCAATCTGAAGTCGGTAATGTATTGCACCCATATTCAAACATTCTAATTTCAATAGAGAATGAAGCTGGGTATTTCCACCTGCTTGGGACACTGTAATTAATAAAATTAAAACTAAACCCAAGCATACCACGCAAGACTTCAAGACAGTAAGTTCATTCTGCGTAGATCGGACCATAAATAGTTATTAAAAAGCTGAAGTTACTCCAAGTTAACACTGATTTCGGTACACCAGTCACCTCAATCCCCCATGACCATGTGTGCTGGAAAGCACCCGAAAGTCGGGAATTAAAAATCAAAGAAATTAAATGCGATAACATCGGTATAATTAGTTGTTAAAAAACTGTATTTGTGAAAATAAAAACCTTTATATCTTAAAATTCCCGACTTTTTTTAAACCAATTTCTTAACCATTTCATTCCTTTAATTGTATATTATCATATCTATATGCTTTTATATGTGGGCACCCATGGCCGAAATGTCTATGAAGAGTGGGCATTCCTCTTTCACAGTGCGCGAGCAAACCAGGTTCGATCCCCGCTGGCAGCAATGAAATTGTTAATTTGAAACCATCGTGAGAAAACCTGCATGTCTGAGAAATAAGAAAAAAAATATTTCGAAGACATGTGAAGTTCGCCAAGAAGCATATTAAGGCAGTGCGGCGGACAATTCCTTGCCCTAACTAAAACCTAATGAGCGGAGGCCTGTGCCCAGGAGTGGAACGTATATAAGCGGTAACTTTAACTTTAATTGAAAATAAAACAACGAAATACTTTTTTTATCACAAGAATAGTCAAAACATAAGCATATGCCGGCAATTTGCTCAGTACTAGATGATGCAATAACATGTCAGGTGTGGCGGGGAGCGAGAGGCAGGGTCCGGCGCTAATCCCGCGCACTTTACGGTAACAAGTTTCGACATAAATTGGTTAGGTCCCCCTGTCGAATAATGTTCAGCCGAATACTCGGTTCGGTAAAAATTTTGCCGAATATTCGTATTCGGTGAAATCCATATTCGGCCCATCATTAATATATATATATATACGAGTATATATATATATATATATATATATATATATATATATATATATATATATATATATATACGTATGTATGTATGTATATGTGTCTCTGAGCGTGTCGGTCACGTGAGTTCAGTGCTTTTCTCCATCCCAAAAGTGCCCAACGTGCCTAAAGAAGTTTCCACTTCAGCAAGTTTACAATAAGATGGTGGGACACGGAAAAAAATAATACTAATAGTGCTGTTAACCTACTAATACTCTCTTTGAATACTCCAGCTTTATAATGTTTGTAGAGGAAATGATACACGGGGGTACACGAATGACAAATTTGTACAAACGAGTTTTGAGTTTCGCGGTCCATTTCCTTAACCGTTAGGCTTAGACTTCTACCGTTAACAACGTTAAGATATGTTGTTCCCAATTATTTTAAATTTTCTCAATTCTATATGGCGTCTGGTAGTAGCCATATTGAATTTTGATTACTATCATGTCTAAGATGAATACAAATCGATCAACGTAAGAATCATCAAAATCGGCCCACTCGTTTAGTCTCAAGACCGCCACAAAATAACAAACATAGGTACATATAATATATAGGCTGATAACGCATTACCCTCCTTTGCGTCGCGCAGTCGGATAAAAAGTTTACAAGATGGTGGGATAGCTTTTGACTTGCCAACCGCCATAAATACTTTATACACATAACATTACACGTGCCGCATGCACATGGTACAATACTGAACATGTTGACATATTGCAGACTTTCCGGGGCGTTGGTGCTTCACATCAGCGATATATTCTTTTACGCGGGTTTTTTATTGATCTTTTTGCTTACCTACCCAATAGAAGTCCTAACCATTACATATTCATCATCATCATTATTACAGCCCTTCACAAGTCCACTGCTGAACATAGGCGCCTCCCCCAAGTAATGCCACAAAGCACGGTCCTGAGCCACCTGCATCCACCGACTTCCTGCATGTCTTACCAGGTCGTCACTCCATCTAGTGGGGGGTCGCACTACACTACGCCTACCGGTACGAGGCTGCCACTCGAGAACCTTTCTTCCCCATCGGTTATCGGTTCTTCGAGCTATATGGCCGGCCCATTGCCACTTCAGCTTACTAATCCGTTGGGCTATGTCGGTCACTCTGGTTTTACTGCGGATATCCTCATTTCTAAGTCTATCACGCAGAGAAACTCCGAGCATAGCCCTCTCCATAGCTCGCTGAGCGACGTTGAGCGTCCTCATACGGTCAGCAGTGAAGGACCACGTCTCTGATCCGTAAGTCATACCATTACATATGATATATTAGAACGCAAAACCTCGCAAAAAAAACACCGATTCCTACCAAGGATGATTCGCGAGACATTAACCATTATTAAATCGAATCATTAATTAAATTAAATAAAATGAAAACATCACAATTTCAAATAGAGAAGATAGTTGGATACTACCATCCACTTGCTTTTTTATAGCATTGGGTAACAAATGAGCACACAATCCACCTGATGGTAAGTGGATGGTATGGCCCATAGACATCAAAATTTAAACTCAATTAAGAATAAAAATGCAAATGCGTTGTCAGCCCTGAGGACCAAGATGAAATAAAATTCCAGTAAAAAGGGTCTCCGGTTCTCTACACTCACCGTATGAAACACAGCAGCATTACGCTGACATTTTACGCTGGTATTTTGTGAGAGTGTGGTCCCGCCCCGGTCGAGCCGACCCATTCGTGTTATAACTATAATATAGCTGCAGCGTGGCTCTGGCACATTATAATTGTGCTTAAATCCAAACCCAAGCATACTACTACTGCAAAACTTCAAGATACTGTGAGCTCGTTCTGCGCAAGTCGGACGGAAGCTAATAATTAAAAGTTAAAGACAGGCATCGTTAACTGTGACATCAGGACGTCCCCCCTCGTGACCATGGTTGCTATAAAACGCCCGAAAAGTTGGGAATTAAAAAGGTTAAAACTAAACGAGATGTAATCCGTAAAATTTGTTTAATAATATGTGTAGTATTCACGTAAATAGAAAAATCATTACATAAATATTTGATATGCGTGAACGTTTGTAGAAAGTCAACTTGGCTAACCCCGCAGCAGAGCTGTCATTAACATAGAAATCCGTTTTATAGGCCATATAACATAGTATACATTAATCTTTATTGTCATAATAAGAGGTTACATATAGCGCATGAATAACGTATACTCTTAATTATTTAAATACCTTATTAATTAAAATACGGTCACGTTTACCAATCAAAAAGCATCAATGACTATTAAATAATAATAACGATAAAACGTATTAAAAATAAATGACAATAGTTTAATGTAAAAATCAAACGGTTTCTTTCTATACATAGTTTCACAGACAGTGTCGCATACTACGTACATATATTTTTCCAGTTTTTATTTATTTATACTATACTCCACACATAACTTAGAGTAACGTTACAAATACTGTTCATAACCTTATATTGAATAAATATTGTATAGCAAAGACTTATAATACAACCAAACAATATTCTCATTACAAAGTACAAACCGTGTTCCTGAAAAGGCGGGAGTGCATCCAACGCGCCTTCTACCACTAAACACTGCGCGGCCCGCGTCGATCGTGATAGGTTGCCAAGGGTCCGTACAGCCTCGCACGCAGCCGCGTTCATTCCGTCGCTATCCTTCCGCAGCCAGCGGCATGTAGCTGTTGATTTTTTAAGTTTGTTAAGGAAACGTAAGTTTACGTCGTAGAGCCATGCTGCAGCTATAGTAGTGGTATAGTTTTAGCACGAATGTATCGGCACGACAGGGTAGGGACCACACTTTCACAGAATACCAGCGTATAATAGCAGCTTAACGCTGCTGTGTTTCATATGGTGAGTGTAGAGTACCGGAGACCCTTTTTACTGGAAACGAGGCATTCCGTCTTAGTGATAACGGGTGACAACGCATTAGCATTTTGATTCGTAATTGAGAATAGATATAGATGTCTATGAGTCACAGAATCACTTACCATTAAGTGGACTGTGTGCTCATTTGTCACCCTTATCCCATAAAAAAACGTGCGTGGTAGGTGGTTACCGATCACACCTTACGGAATCCCGCTTTGTCGTAGCGAGGCTTAGTATCCGTGGCTTAGTCACCCACAGGGAACAATGAGGAAACCACTTGGATGGCCCGCCCAGCCGTCTCATAATGCGTAATGGTAGACTACGGCAGAAGGAAGGTACTTCCTCCATTTCCACAACAGCCGAAGTGGAGTCACGAGGGAAGATGAGTGTTGATCCACGACTTTAACGGGGTGGCACCGTTGATGCGGTGGCGGGGTTGCGGAGAGTGACGGTATTACGAGGTGCCGCTCTCCCTACCCTCCGCAGCCGAAACTTGGCTGATAACGCAGCCGTAGACCAGACCTGCTGCTTTAGGTCCCTTGCGCAGATGGAGTTGGAGGTCGTGGAGGATAGCGCACTTTGCGTACTCGTGCGCTTAACCTAAGAAGAAGAAGGGGGATCTTCCCCCGAGGAGGGGCGAACAAACCGTAGCTCTGCTAATATACTACGTAGATGGGATGTTTTAGACGATACGAGCCCGACATAACCCGCCCTTGCAATTAGTAATAGTAATTTTCCAAGATTAGAAAGTTTTGCGGGTTTACCACATTCTCGCGATGAAATCATAGTTAAACTATAATTTTTTGTTCCAATGAAAGGACGAAAGAAGCTGTAGAAAAATGAACTGTATTAAGCTTCGGTGGTGCCCGCAACAACCTGTATTAACATTTTTCATCTTAATTACCTCCACGTGTTGTGGTACCATAATATAATCTACTACCTCATATCATCCAATGGGTACCGTAAAAGGCGAAAGAGGGAAGCTGAAACAGGAGATGAACAACAGCAGTTTCCTAATAACAACTCAAAATAATAATAAATATGCGATCGCCATCTCGCCCGCCGAGCGTGGCAACTCTGACGAGTATCAATGAGGCAATTAATAACAGAGATCTTGATCAGCAGTAGACTTTGATAGCCTGTAGTGATGAAGATGAAGATTTCAAGTACCTTAAGAGTATATCCTGCAGAAAGCTACTGATGCCTGATGGGAATAAAGCAAAAAAGAATTATACCTTTACAAAGCAGCTCAATAGTATCATCCAGCGGGTCGAGGGGTTCCGCTGGTTCGAGATAGAACGTGATGTTGTTGAGAGTAGCAAGGGCAGCTGTGGCCAATTCTTCACGACGTTCCATGTATACGTCTCCCTCTCTTTCAATTGGGCCGATCACCTGAAAATTATAAGTGGCTTGGTTTAATTGGTGGTTTAATTGATTTTTAAGTCGCGGATCCTGAGTTCGAATGAGGAGCTAGCATTAATGCAAAACTACAAATTCTTAGCTTTTAAATGTAGACTTCCTGTGGTTAGCAGAGTGTCTCCGAAACTAAAACTACGAGTATCTGAGATCTTATTTCTATAGAGTTTAAAACAACTAAAACGTCATAGTCAGGAAGTTATTGTATTACATCGCTGATTAATTCGTAAGTGTGACTGCTGATCATGTGGACCTGAGTTTGAATCCGGGGGAGGGGGGGGGGGCGGTCAAAATCAGTTATTGAATTTTTCTAATAAGGAAATTCTCAGTAGTAGCCGAAAGCCAGACGACAATTATTGGTGTTTACCTCCGTCCCTCGGAAAGCATATTAAGCTGTCGTGTCGGATTGCCATCTGATCGGACTATGAGAATGAGGAATAGAGCGCACCTGTGCTTGCGTCTATTATTTATTCTGTGCTTGCGTATAGACTTCTGTTATCCTGCGCAGATGACCTGTCTCCGTTGTGACTGGTCAACCAAAATTCGGTCAGAAAACCATTATTAATATTTCATATTAATGCAAATCTTTGAAAATTCTTACCGGTTTATCTGTAGGCCTCTCAGCTACCTCTAAACACGACAGCAGTGCTTTCACAGTGCGTTCGGCGTGATGAGCGGCTATTCCCCGCCCTGCCAGCTCTGCCAGGCATAAGTTCGCAACAACCCGAACCGTCTAAGTTAAACATTTATAAATAGATAATATATTCAGAATTAAAGAAAGCTATGAAATTACTCACACTAATTCAGTGATTATTTTGTTTTTAACATGAATTGTTATGATTTAAAAAAAAAAGATGTATTGTCGTAATCGAGGACCGCGAGACAGCGTCCAGCATTTCTGCCTTTTTAGTCGTCAACACATAACCCAAGAAAAGGATTTTAATCCCGGCTTAATTTTTGCAGTCAATTTTAAGCCGGAGCAAATATATTCAAAAAAACAAAAAGTAAGTACATAACTGGAACTGGACTAGCGTTAGCAACTTTGAGAACGTATTATCTTTGGACTAGTTTGCTCAATTTGATTACAATAGTCAATAATAAAGTAATAATAAAGTAATATTTATTTTCTCCCACATATTATCAGTACATTACAATAAACTAAGTAATAGTAAACTTATACAATAACAGCTATAAATACTAACTAAATAAGATCTAGGTGGCAGACGTGCCCGAAATAGGTTGCCCTGTGCTATGGGATCACCAGGCCCCTCCGTCAACAGAAGTGATATTGCTGTGTAATAGTGGAGACGAACTGTCCACTATTAACAGACTCCGAGTGGTTTTCTTTAAGGTGGAGAAATGAAACTACTGTTTATGTTTATGAATGTACTGTCGAATGGGATTCGGAATGGAATATATTTTGCATCAACCTTGCCTATATTTATATGGCTGGCTCACTATTGATTTGCCAATGGTAACAATTAATATTTTGCCTAGCCAATTATATTGCTTATTTTATGACCAATGAAAACTATTTAAAATATACAATTATCTACGTTTCGTTTCCCGGCGTGAGACTTGTTTGTTGTTCACGAAGCTACGTCGCTGGACCGGGCTATATAAGACATGCAGATCGGTGCGCACGCGTAGTCGGCGGGCGGCGGCGGTGTGGAATACAGCTCCGGAACAGCAAGAGGAAACGAACTGCGGCGTTGAAGAAACGGCTCACCATTGGTCGACGGATACGTGACGATAGCGGCGTGTGAAGTCGGTGTGGCGCTGAATGATATTTGCGGCTGCTTCTTGTTTCTTTATAAGAACGTCAAATTATCTATATACAGTCCGCAGTATCTCAGTAGCCAAGAATAATTAGGAAATAAAATGTTTTTTTTATTTATTCTCGCCTTCCGCGTTATGGTAGCAGCGGAGTATATATTATTTATTCCCGTTTAGGTTTGATTTATCTGGCTGCTACATCACTCTCCCCCCAGCGAAAGCGTACCGGAGGCTTGACGACTCGCCCGTATTTCGTAGTTTTTAAAATAGGTTTCAACTGGGTTGATGTAGATGATGAAGTTTCAAGCTTCCTCGCTGGTGGTTTTGATGATGATGATGAATCCTCTGCAGTATCCTCGTTAATAATATAGGCTGGCTTTAGTCGGTCGATCGATATAATCGTAGATTTCCTTCCGGGTATTTGTAGTTTAAAAGTCTTGCTATTTCTCTCTAATACTTTATACGGTCCATCGTAGGTAGGTTGAAATTGTTTTTTCATTGCGTCGTTTCTTACAAAAACTTGCTTGCATGTTTTCAAATCTTGGTGAATGAATACTGATTTATTATTTCTGTGTGATTGCATTTCGGTGCATTTCAACGAAAAGGCTTTGTTAATTGATTCTCGAAGTTTAGTTACGAAATCGTAATCCATTTCTTGTTTGTTTGACGCTGCTGAACTGAAGAAGTCACACGGCAGCCTTATGCTGCAGCCGTAGGTTAGCTGAGCGGCGCTAAGACTAGTGTCTGCACGCGGTGTTGCTCGTAGTCCGAGTAGCACTGTAGGTAGCTCATCAATCCACTTTGTATGTTGAGATAAACGAGTTTTGAGTGCAGTCTTTAATGTACGATGCCATCGTTCGATTATTCCGTTTGACTGAGGATGGTATGCTGTTGTACGCGTCTTCTGTATTCCCATAGTTTGAAGAAGTTTGAGGAATAGGTTGCTTTCGAAATTCCTTCCTTGATCCGTTGTGATGGTTTTAGGTGATCCGAAACGAGTAATCCAATTTTCATAAATTATCTTCGCGACGGATTCGGCTGAAGTATCATCGGTAGGTATTGCTTCTGGCCATCTTGTTGTTCTGTCGATCATTGTTACGAGATAACGATGTCCTTGCGGTGAAGTAGGTAATGGTCCAACGATGTCAACGTGCAAGTGTTCGAATCTCTCCGTGGGTGGAAATGTAGCTAGACTACTTGATGTATGCCTTTGTACTTTGCATTTTTGGCATTGAATGCATTGCTTCGCCCAGTTGCCAACATCCGCTTGCATTGCAGGCCAAAAGAATTTTTCAGTGATGAGTTTTCTTGTTGTTCTAACACCTGGATGACTAATGTTGTGCAGTGTATTGAAGACTTCGCGACGACATTCTTCTGGTATGTATGGTCGCATGGTTGTCGTTGAGGCTTCACAGTATATAGGTAGATGCGTCATTGGCATTGTAACTTGCTTGATGGACAAGTTACCTTGCTTCGATAGATGTTTTATGTTGTCACTATCTCTGTCTTGTGCTGCGGCGATCTTATGATAGTCGATTGATGTAGGGCACGTTACACTGTCGATTGGTACGCGACTGAGTGCGTCGGCAACTATGTTGTCCTTTCCACTGATGTGACGTATGTCGGTCGTGAATTCACTTATGAAAATAAGTTGTCTTGCTCTTCGTGGTGTTTCCGATAGTGATGGTTTCTTTGGAAGTACATATGTTAATGGCTTGTGGTCGGTAAAAACGATCAGGTTTCGACCCTCGAACGTTTTTCTGAAGTGCTTGATAGCCATGTAAATAGCGAGTAGCTCTCGGTCGAATGTACTGTAGTTACGTTGAGTATCGGAGAACTTCTTCGAAAAATATCCAAGTGGTTGCCATTTCCCATTGCTGTACTGTTGGAGAACTGCTCCTGCTGAGAGATCGGATGCGTCGCTGAAGATAGCAAGGGTTGCTTCGTGTGATGGGTGAGCGAGTAAAGCTGCATTTTGGATCGCAATTTTACAAGCTTCAAATGCCTTCGTGGCTTCATCGTTCCATTCGATTGACGTTTTATCTTTTTTCTTCGTGTTGTGAAGGTAGGCGTGAAGTGGTGCTTGGATTTCAGCGGCTTTAGGTATGTGTTCTCTGTAAAAATTTATCATCCCGAGAAAACGCCTTAGCTCTTCGATAGTTTTAAGTTTTGCATAATCGATGATTGCTCTGACTTTTTCGGCAGGCGGTTTTATTCCTTCCTTGCTGACGGTGAAACCAAGAAATTGAACTTCTTGCTGTCCAAATATGCATTTCGAAGGGTTGATTGTGATTCCGTTGTCTTCTAATCGCTGTAGCACGGTGCGTAGATGGGTTTCGTGCGTTTCTTTATCAGGGCTTGCAACAAGGAGATCATCAATAAATGCGAAAACGAAATCCAGTCCATGAAGTACTTCGTGTATGAATCTTTGGAAAGTTTGACCTCCGTTCTTTAATCCTGGGATCATTCTTGGGAATTCGAATAATCCCATTGGGGTAATTATTGCTGTCTTCTCTATGTCTTCATCGCGGACTCTTATTTGTTGGTAAGCTCGGTTGAGATCGATGGTGGAGAATATAGTCTTGTCTAATAGTTGATGAGTGAAATCCCTGACTCGCGGTATTGGGTATCGGTCAGGAGTGGTAATAGAATTCAGTCTTCTGTAATCTCCACAAACTCGTAATTCTCCGTTCTTCTTCGGTACAATGTGAAGTGGTGATGACCAAGGGCTTTTGCTTGGACGGCATATTCCTTGCTCAATCATGTTTTCGAATTCCTTTCGAACTTGCTCGTATAGGTGTGGTGCGATTGGACGTGCACGACAATGAAGTGGTGGTCCATTGGTGTCGATGAAATGCTCAACGTCGTTCTTCGGTGTTAATTTCATTGAAGTTATTCTTGTGATACCAGGGTATTCTTCGAGGATCTTGTGATACGGTTGTTGCACATCTATGCTTCTTATTGTGGGCAGATTGGTTGCTTGTACAAAAGACTGAGATGCAAGATTGGTTTTCCCGTCGATGATTCTTCTATTTTTGATGTCGACGACCAACTGGTGATGTTGAAGAAAATCAGCACCGATGATTGGTTTGCTGACTTTAGCGACGATAAATCTCCATTTGAATGGTCGGCGTAGATTAAAATCAAGTTCCATTGTTTTTTCTCCATATGTAGGAATAACCGTATTGTTTGCTGCATAGAGTTGAAAATCTAGTGGCTTCAACTTCTGTCCTTGCTTCGGCGGTAACACTGAGATATTTGCTCCGGTGTCGATAAGGAAAGTGAGCTTGCTTTTTTTATCGGTGACGAAAAGACGGTAGGACTTTGCTGTTACGCTGGATCCCGTCGCATCGAGCGTACTAGTTAGTTTTCCGTGTTCGTATTTTCATTTTTGAATGTACACGGTGCTGTGCATTTTCTTGCCTCGACCCCGAAACGTCGATGATAGTAGCAGTAAGGGGATCTTGATGTTGAGCTTATTCGACTTCTACTTGCAGAGCGGTTGCGACGAAAAGGTGATCTTCGGTGTTGCTGATTGCGCTGGTTGTACTGTTGCTGGTAAAAGGTATGATGCTGGGAAGCTTTGAGCGCGGCGACTTCGAATGATAGCTTCCGAATTTCTTCGAGAAGAAACTGGGTATCATTGGCCTTTGTTGAAGTGCCTTCGATGATCGATATGTGTGAGCTACTGCTGTTTTCGATCATCTTGTCCGCCAGGAGTGCCAGTTCGTCGAGCTTCGTCTGCGTGCTGAATGTTTCGCTGACTGCTATTACCGATCGAATATGTGGTGGTAGGTGGTTTACCCACATTAGCCGTAGTGTTGAATCCGGAACTTTATCTCGCGCCAAAGTACGCATTTTGCGTAGGAGTTGTGTGGGTTTCTGGTCTCCAAGTTCTATTTCTGATAGAAGTTTTTGTAGCTGTCGACTGTCGGATTCTTCATATGCGGAGATCAGCCGATCCTTCAGTGAATTATACTGGTCGACTGCTGGTGGGTTGTACAACAGGTCCGCAATTTGTTCGATGTCTTGTTTCTCAAGTTGGGCTATCACCATCTGTGCTAATTGCGCTTGGCTCTTCTTTAAACCATTCGTTGCGGCTTCAAAACTGACGAACCAAAGTCGTGGTTTGTCTCTCCAAAACGGTGGTATTCTTAACGATAGAGATATACCGGCGATTTCTGGTTCCTTTACCGGGTTTGATGTATATGTGTTTGCCTCCTGCTCCATAATGACGGCTTGATTACACTGATTTTATATAAACTGAAGTCTTCCTTCTCGGTGTTCGTACGGGTTTCCTTCGCGGTGTTCGTGCAATAGTAGTGGTACGTCGCAGGGTGTTCCTTCTTGGTGTTCGTACCGGATCTTCCCCCTCGGTGTTCGTACGGGGTCACCACTGTAATAGTGGAGACGAACTGTCCACTATTAACAGACTCCGAGTGGTTTTCTTTAAGGTGGAGAAATGAAACTACTGTTTATGTTTATGAATGTACTGTCGAATGGGATTCGGAATGGAATATATTTTGCATCAACCTTGCCTATATTTATATGGCTGGCTCACTATTGATTTGCCAATGGTAACAATTAATATTTTGCCTAGCCAATTATATTGCTTATTTTATGACCAATGAAAACTATTTAAAATATACAATTATCTACGTTTCGTTTCCCGGCGTGAGACTTGTTTGTTGTTCACGAAGCTACGTCGCTGGACCGGGCTATATAAGACATGCAGATCGGTGCGCACGCGTAGTCGGCGGGCGGCGGCGGTGTGGAATACAGCTCCGGAACAGCAAGAGGAAACGAACTGCGGCGTTGAAGAAACGGCTCACCATTGGTCGACGGATACGTGACGATAGCGGCGTGTGAAGTCGGTGTGGCGCTGAATGATATTTGCGGCTGCTTCTTGTTTCTTTATAAGAACGTCAAATTATCTATATACAGTCCGCAGTATCTCAGTAGCCAAGAATAATTAGGAAATAAAATGTTTTTTTTATTTATTCTCGCCTTCCGCGTTATGGTAGCAGCGGAGTATATATTATTTATTCCCGTTTAGGTTTGATTTATCTGGCTGCTACAGCTGTAACTCTTAATAAAGAATACAACTACTTGTAAACAAAAGTAAATTAAAATAGATATCTGATTACAATAGTCTGCCGTAAGTTGGATTAAAATGGCCGCTACGTATCTTCTAAGCAAGATGGAAATGAATAGGCGTTTATGAGACTAAAACAGTGCGCGGCAACATCATCATTTACCAGTGGAAATCGGATAGTTAAAAAATCGAATAATTTGTTCAAATTAGGTCATTCTGAGATAAAACATTTTATTCATTTTTTACAACTGGTTCGGAAAAAAATATCTATCCTGGGAAGAACCAGCAAGAAACCCAGAGGGAGTTTTTTAAACATATTTCAGTTTAAAATAAACTTTTATAGAACCTGCATGGTGGCAATCATCTCATTCCCAGAGGCTATTTTCATTTATGTAAGTATTCTTTGATAATATAATAACCATTTTTGTACAATTTTTCTTTTATTAAACATTTCGTTGTACATTTTCCGGGATTTTGTGTTATTACATACTATAACAATAACGTTATAACATTGTTGCTTGTTGTAATATAGTGACAAATTTGATTGCTGCTTACTGGCAGAAGTGGTAAGAAGGTGGTTTTAGCTTACCCAGATTAAGTCATTTAATTAACATTTCATTCATGAACCAAAAGGGCGGAACTATCGTACCCAGATGGAGACATAATGTAAATAAAATATTGATATAAAAATTAAAACTAATTGTTTTAAATTTAGAGTTTCTTTTTGTTTAAGAACTATAGAATCGATTAATTTTTTCATCTTTACTGAACCTTATAAACAGTATAGGATCAAAAGGCGGGCTTAATGCTAAAAACATTTCCTATCAGTCAAACTTAGGATTTTAGTAAAAAGCTATGAATTTAAAGTCATTATTAATTTTCAAGCAATAAATACACACGCTCACGTACCCACTAACACAAAGTGTGTGTGTTTTTTAAAGAATTGATTTAAGAATTAGTCGACTAAACCAGGAAAAGGATCTCTTAGAATAACGTTGTCCACTATTAGTTATACGCACCTTTATTAAAACATCTTCATTGGAGCCATCTGAACCTAAACAGAGATAGACAAAAAAACTCTTTAAAACATCTCTACACATTGAATGAAACTAATTTTACGGATTTTTCGGGTTTAATACTACTTATTTTTAATTTCTAACGATTAATGATTTTTTATATTTACGCGAACACTACACATAGATTAAAACTAAAAAAACGCGATAAAATCCGTAAAAGTAGTTCTAATGATTAATTCCTAACGCGGGAACCCCCCGTGAAACCATGAAATGTCGGAAATTAAAAATAAGTGGTAACAAGGTAAAATCCGTTAAAGTTGTCTATGTGCAATTTGCGTCATCAATTAATTATTACTTATATCTATAATTTCAAGTTGCTATTTATGTTAATTAGTAGTTATGTATGTCTCATGTTTTTAATCGACTTCAAAAAGGATGAGGTTCGACTAATTCGTCAGTACTCAGAACGTTTTTCTAGGTGAAACTATTTGCATAATTCTTTTTTTATTTGAAAACTGGTGCTTCTCGTATTGATCAAGATCTGATCAATAGTTTTTGAGTTCAAATAAAATGAGAACGTCCTCATTTTGTTTTATATTGAAGTCGACACAACACAAATGTTTTAGTTTTACCACTTGTTCAAAATTAAAATAAATTTTCATTAATGAAAATATGGAAATAAAGATGTTTTTTTTTCACTGAATGAAAGTACGACGTCTTCTATTGGTATTAATTAAACACAATTTCTCTGGAAGTTTTGTTTTGACAGCTCGCCAAAAGTATTTCCATTGGCGTTAATGTCAAACTATACTATAAAATGCCTCGGCGATACAGAAGAAATTCTTAGAGTGGAGCTAGCTTTCTTGTAAACAAATTAAGTAAATATTCCGCGAGTTTCTGTATAGCTTGTATAAAAATTATGTCGTACCAACTAAATGGAGATCCGGGTCCAAATCTAGGTCCTTCGTGTCACGTTCGTTGCGGTTTGTGTAGGACTCCAGTATAGTCAGTAACACGTCTACGCTACCATCTTCGTTGTAGATCTTTAAAAAAAAGGTGTAAAAATTTTAAAAAGGTTTACGAATATGCATAACATACTACTATTAAAATAAAACAAATGCATACTAGTATGAAAGACATAAAACTTTTTCGGCTCATTTCTTTTATTATCTTCATCATGTGCCCTTAAAAACCCTCTTCTTGTTATGGTCGAGTTCTTTACTCAGCAGCGGACTTGTAATTGGCTGTAATGCCGTTGATAAATGTGTTCTGTTGTGCCATATGGTTTTCAATAATATATTTTATATTTAAAGTAACCTTGTAGTGGTGGTATAAGAATATCCACTAGACCTTGACATCCCGTGGGTGTCGTACGAGGTGAAAGAGCGATACTGAACCAGTAGATGAGCAGCAGCATCTTTTTGATAACAATTTTATATGGTAGAGCCATGCTGTAGCTATATGAGTAGCACAGTTGTAGCACGAATGAATCGGCTCGACCAGGGAAGGACCACGCTCTCACAGTACCAGCGTAAAATACCAGCTTAACACTGCTGTGTTTCGTATGGTGAGTATAAAGAACCGGATACCCTTTTTACTGGAAACAAGGCACACCATCTTAGTCCTCACGTGTGACAACGCATCTGCATTTTGATTCGTACTCGAGGATATATGTAGGTGTCTATGGGCCACAGCAACCACTTACCATCAGGTGGACTGTGTTACCCTTATCTATAAAAATGGCTGAATAAAAATAAAAGAACAGCGGTTGCCAACCCGCTATGAGTTTTTAAAGGCTGCAATTTAATAGTAATAGTAAAATATTCCGACCAGTAACGGGCAGCAGCGTCTAAGATGCGAGATGTCTGGCACTGGGATCCTCAATGTAACTACCAAGCATAACAGATTAACGCTAATTCTCTCTTCAAGGGGAGAGGTCCAGTATGACAGACTTAAAACTATGACATAAACATCATGCCACTTTCTTAAATCTACAGTAGGAATTTCTCCTATTTCATGGGGGCAGTTTACATAAATAAATTCACCATACAAAAACTTGATTCGTTTAGCCGCAGCGTAGTAACTCTTTCCAATCACCTTGGCTCACTGGAGCCAAGGTGATTGGAAAGAGCCCGGTCGCAGACGATTCAAACAGCTCTATGCTGGATGCGATGAAGTGGAAGGAGCTGGCACTCGGGACCATTGGCCCAGAGATATTACAGAGAGGAACAGTATTCTATATGAAGCCGAACCTGCGCCTTGCAAAGTTGCAGGCGGTGTCCCAGCATGAAATAATGGCCTAGCTTTTAGAGGCCAATTCGGCCTTCTCTTCTAAGTGACCCCGAAACTACACACTATTCGATATGTCGACGCCGAGGATTCCGATACTGGCTGAGGCAACAATGGGAGTGCCCTGAAACTATGGAGATATGACAAAGGCGTACTTTTTAGCGGTAAACGCGCAAGCTTTTACCTTCTGGGGAGACTCGAGACTTTGTTCAACAAAGTCTCGACCTCAGACGAAAGTATGTTCCGATACTCGTAAAGTTTTCCCAAGAAATATTGTTACGGTTGGTATATAAAGCTCTGCAGCAGCTCTGATGATGAGCTGTCGTCCGAATAGCAATGAATTTTACCGGTTCGCAACATATCATTGATATGCAGAAGAAACAGCGTTGGTGATAGCACGCAGCCTTGTGGAACATCAGCGTTAATAGGCTTGTAATCGGAGCATTCACCATATACTACGACCTTGATGCTCCAAATAGCCAGAAAACTGGTGATCCATTGGCAAAATTTCTCGGGAAGTTTACAGGAAGGAAGCTTTGAAAGAAGTGCTTTATGCCAAACCTGATCAAAGGCCTTCGCTATATCCAAACTAACCGCCAAAGCCTCCTCCTTGGACTCGAACGCCTGCCCCATCAATATAATAGGTAACCAAGAAGATCACAAGATGAGGGACACCGACAAATCGTACTGGCGGTCACTAATCAGCTGGGGAACCTCAAGGTATCTCATGAGTTGGTAGTTTATGATGATTTCCCTTATTTTGGAGAACAAGGAGGAGATGGCGATAAGCCTATAGTTCGACGAATTGGAAACTACACAAGGTAAATCAGCACTTAAAATTGTAACTAACAATTTCGGGAATGAACACATGTTTATCACAAACAGTCAAATTTATGGCAAGCGCTTACTAGCCCAACAGGCTCCAATTACGTAATAAGCAAAGATGTTTTATAGGTACAGATACCGTGTTGCTAACACATCGTACCGTTTATAGTGACGCCAGTCTTTGATTCATGTGTGCGTGAGTACCACGTCACGTGCATATCTTACGTACCATGCCTATATTAATGTGCGTGACTTCGGTAATAATAGTATGAATCGATTACCCAAAAATTTGGGAGATTTTATATTTCATTCAGATTGATTCGTGCGTGTGTGTGCGTGTGTGTAATTGAATGCTCACACAACACAATCGTATGTTTTATGTAGGTACGAACATCGCACTAAAATATTGAAGATAAGTAATAAAATCAATAATTAATGTAACAGTTAAAATACATAAAAAATAATAGTAGATAGTTATGTACCTAACATATATTTAACTAATCTATTATTATTGAAATATATATATATATATATATATATATATATATATATATATATAACGATTTCAACTGTGCGGATAACAACGGTTGTTTTCGTTTTCTACTCTTTGGTAATGAATAAACCACAGAAAGTACTGTAATATATAATAGTCCATTTTTTGAGATATAATTAGCACATTTTCGAAAATAATAATTGAAGTTGATCATCTTAGGTAGGTATTAACTTTTTTTTAAATATTAATCACACAAATAATTATTATAATAATATAATTTAATCACACAACTAAAGCTCTCATTAGTAACGTAATGGTGAAAGAATTTTCGAAATCGGTCAAGTAATTTTCGAGATTAGCCAAAAAAACATATTCATAGAAAGTAGCACCCTCAATAATATAAAATACATCCTACATTAGACATCTATAATTATAAATAACGTTCTAGTGGTAAAAGAATTTTCAAAATCGGTCAAGTGAAAGTGATTTATTATGTTGAATTAATACTAGTTTTTACGGAATTTATCGCGTATATTTAACTTTTTAATACCCGACGTTTCGAACGCTTTACAGCACTCACGGGCAACAGTCACGGGCGGGACTGAGATGTTCAACGTCCATATGTCATAGATAAACGCGGTTACCATAGATTAAAATTTAACTTTTGTTCCGATCTATGCAGCATGAACTTATGGTATCTTGAAGTCTTGCAGTTGTATGCTTGGGTTGAGATTTAATTTTATTTATTATAGGATCCCAAGCAGATGGTAGCACCCAGCCATCTTCTCTATTGAAATTAGGATTTTTTTTGATTTCAATAGCCTCGTGAATCATCCTTGGAAGGAATCGGTGTTCTTTAGCGAGGATTTGCGGTCTATCAAATCTGATGTAGTGACGGGGGCGATCCTGTACGTGTTCACAGACTGCAGACTTCCCGGAGCGTCGATTCTTCACATCAGCTATATGTTCTTTAACGCGGGTTTTTATTGATCTTTTACTTTGTCCTATGTAGGAGAGACCACATTCACAATCAAGCTTGTACACTCCTGCATCTTGCATAGGAACATTACACTTGACTGATGGTAAAAACTGACCAATCTTCTTCAGCGGCTTGAAGTATGTTTTGATGGAAGCGCGCTTCAAGATGTAGCCAATCTTGTCAATGACTTCTCTAACATATGGCAGTACAGCAGGTACACGCTCAACTGTGGCTGGCTTCACTCGTTCACTGTGACGTAGGTGCGGAACTTGAAGCTTGTTATCATGCAAAACTTGCTTGACATGGTGGAGCTCAGCAACCAGGTGTTTACTCTCACAGATCCCTCGTGCTCTCTGAAACAAAGATTTACCCACGGTAGCTAACTATGAAGGATGGTGATGAGAATTACCGTTTAAATATCTATCTGTATGGGTCTTTTTTCTATACACAGTATGGCTCAAGGTGTTATCAGGATTCCGAATTACTAACACATCTAGAAAAGCTAAGGAATTGTTTGCCTCTAACTCCATTGTGAACTGAATTTTAGAATTTATAGAGTTAAGATGGTCTAAAAATGCAGTTACTTTATCTAAAGGTAGAATTGTGAAAGTGTCGTCTACGTACCGCTTGTAGAATCTTGGATTTATGGGAGAACTAAGCAGGGCTTTCTCCTCAAAGTCTTCCATAAATATGTCGAAACGTCGGGTATTAAAAAGTTAAATACACGCGATAAATTCCGTAAAAACTAGTATTATTTCAATTTGTAGTGTTCGCGTAAATATAAGAAATCATTATGTAAACCAGTACGGACTGGTAATTGCAAATAAAATACGCCGATTAGAAGATCTAAAGACCAAGCGCGCAAGATATCTAACAGCCTTAAATTTCTTGAAGAGATGCCGTGACCATAATCTCATTCCTACGTGTGTCAAAATATCAACCAAAAAGGACATTCGAGGAAGCGCTAAGATCTTAAATCAGGCGAGTAAAAAGTTGTTACGGACGGTAATCCAACAAAAACGCTCCGATCTATATGACATAAATAAATCCATAGACACATCATCCAGTGAATTAAAGAAAGTTTTAACGAAGTCTGACTATAATTTTTGCGTGGAAACATTGAATAAACGCGAAATTAGTAAATATAACGAATGCAAAAACAAACATATAGAAAAATATCAAAAATTAACGAACAATTCAAATGTCAAACATCTGAATCAATGCCAGAACCAAAAGCAACCATTGACAAACACAGATCATAGATTAATCGCGCTCTATAATCTGTCAAAACAAACACTGGATGATGCAACAATTAGGGTTTTATGCAAAGGCCTCAACTTTGCTATTACACCCCGCAAATTACCGTACGAAGAAATTATCTGTAGTGTCGAGGACTGTTTATTTAAAAACAATATGCGGAAAGAAGATTTGGAGGCGATACGTCAAGACATTTCGTCTATGTTACGTCGATGTTCAGTGCCTAAACCGAATCTTCCCAAAGACGAATTTATAGCGTTAAAGAACCTACGCAATAAACCAGAACTTACGATTCTCCGCGCAGATAAGGGAAACGCCACGGTTGTCATGGATACGTCAGATTATAATTCTAAAATACAAGAACTTTTGTCGGATGTAAGTACTTATAAAAAGGTTAAAAACGACCCAACAAATAGCACACTAAAAACAACTAGTGACCTCATAAAGAAACACTCCGAAAAATTAAATCTCGACGTAAAATGGATAATACCTACGTGCGCCAAATCACCAAAACTGTATGGGTTACCAAAAATACACAAGCCCAATGCTCCATTACGTCCCATAGTGAGCCAAATCGATTCACCAACTTACAGATGGGCTCAACACTTAGCGAAAATACTCTCACCGCTCAGGGGACATACAAGAGCACACATAAAGGATTCCTACCATTTTGTCAGCGAGATTAAAGACCTACATCTGGCAGACAATGAAACTATGGTCAGTTTTGATGTGCAGTCATTGTTTTAATGCTTACCTGTTGAAGACTGCATCTCAATTGTAACTAGAAGGCTGAAAGAAAACAACATGCCCGTAGAATATGCAGTATTACTCAGACACTGCCTTACATCTGGCTACCTATTGTGGAAGGAGGAGTTCTACAAGCAAGTAGATGGTGTGGCGATGGGCTCACCTGTATCTCCCATTGTCGCCGACATATTCATGGAAGACTTTGAGGAGAAAGCCCTGCTTAGTTCTCCCATAAATCCAAGATTCTACAAGCGGTACGTAGACGACACTTTCACAATTCTACCTTTAGATAAAGTAACTGCATTTTTAGACCATCTTAACTCTATAAATTCTAAAATTCAGTTCACAATGGAGTTAGAGGCAAACAATTCCTTAGCTTTTCTAGATGTGTTAGTAATTCGGAATCCTGATAACACCTTGAGCCATACTGTGTATAGAAAAAAGACCCATACAGATAGATATTTAAACGGTGATTCTCATCACCATCCTTCACAGTTAGCTACCGTGGGTAAATCTTTGTTTCAGAGAGCACGAGGGATCTGTGACAGTAAACACCTGGCTGCTGAGCTCCACCATGTCAAGCAAGTTTTGCATGACAACAAGCTTCAAGTTCCGCGCCTACGTCACAGTGAACGAGTGAAGCCGGCCACAGTTGAGCGTGTACCTGCTGTACTGCCATATGTTAGAGGAGTCACTGACAAGATTGGCTACATCTTGAAGCGCGCTTCCATCAAAACATACTTCAAGCCGCTGAAGAAGATTGGTCAGTTTTTACCATCAGTCAAGTGTAATGTCCCTCTGCAAGATGCAGGAGTGTACAAGCTTGATTGTGAATGTGGTCTCTCCTACATAGGACAAACTAAAAGATCAATAAAAACACGCGTTAAAGAACATATAGCTGATGTGAAGAATCGACGCTCCGGGAAGTCTGCAGTCTGTGAACACGTACAGGATCGCCCCCGTCACTACATCAGATTTGATAGACCGCAGATCCTCGCTAAAGAACACCGATTCCTTCCAAGGATGATTCGCGAGGCTATTGAAATCAAAAAACATCCTAATTTCAATAGAGAAGATGGCTGGGTGCTACCATCTGCTTGGATCCTATAATAAATAAAATTAAATCTCAACCCAAGCATACAACTGCAAGACTTCAAGATACCATAAGTTCATACTGCATAGATCGGAACAAAAGTTAAATTTTAATCTATGGTAACCGCGGTTAACTATGACATATGGACGTTGAACATCTCAGTCCCGCACGTGACCATGAGTGCTGTAAAGCGTTCGAAATGTCGGGTATTAAAAAGTTAAATATACGCGATAAATTCCGTAAAAACTAGTATTATTTCCATGCCCCATCCAAAACCACAATTTATCGCTGGTTTGCTTTATTTCAGCGTGGACGTGTCAAGATCAGTGATGATTCCCGTCAAGGTCGTCCAAAAACTGCAGTCACGCAAGAAAACGTTGATACCGTGCTTAAGCTGATTGGGAAGGAAGATCGACATGTGACATACCGCGAAATTCAGGCAACTTTAGAAATTGGCATGAGTCAAATACAAATAATATTGCATGAACAATTAGGTGTAAAAAGTTGTTTTCCCGATGGATACCGCATTCGCTCTGTGAAGATCTAAAAGCGGCTCGCGTTACGTGGTGTGTCAGAACTCTCGAAAGATTCCACGCAGGATCCTCAAATGATGTATACAAAATCGTATCAGGTGACCAATCCTGAATATACGCGTACGAACCCGAAACAAAAAACCAGTCACGAGTTTGGGTATTCGAGAATGAGTTAAAGCCAACAAAAATTGTTCGTTCACGGAGTGTTGCAAAAAAAATGGTGGCCACGTTTGTCTCCAAAACCGGCCATGTTACGACTATTCCTCGTGAGGGACAAAGTACGGTTTGCTAGCATTTGTTTGTCACAGGTCTTTTCTGAACTCCGTAAAGAGAACTGCAACCGCCGCATCATCCTCCATCACGACAATGCGAGTTCTCACACCGCACACAGAACAAAAGAGTTTTTAAAGCAAGAAAACATAGAATTATTAGACCATCCGCCGTACAGCCCCGACCTAAGCCCTAATGATTTCTATACTTTCCCTAAAATAAAGAATAAATTGCGTGGACAGAGATTTTCATCACCTGAAGAAGCTGTGGACGCCAACAAAATGGCCATTTTAGAGAACCATCTTCCGAATGGAATGGTTGCTACAATGATTGGTTCCATCATATGGAAAAATGTGTCAAATTTCGCGGAGAATACTTCGAAAAGCAATAAATACATTTTTAAATAGTAATGTTGTGTTACTTCCTTGGTTCCCGAAATTTTCCGTGCCGCCCTCGTAATCCAAAATAAAGAAAACATCAATATCTCACATTTAGGATAGTCGGATCTTTTTTAATAATTTCGTCCAATTATGAAAATATGGTAGGTTCAATCTCACTTACGTTTACCCTAGCCTGTTCATCCGCGGCGGCCATGTTGCCCAACGTGTACGCCAGTCTGACGGCGAGGGCCGCGCGGGGGGCGCACGCCGCCAGCGCGTGCAACAAAGCTGGCGCACTCGACGACGACGCACAGAGCCACCCGCAGCACGCATCCTCGCCCGATAACACACTGAAGTCAATGTAAAGATGACGTCACATTACACGAACTTCGTATATATATACCGTATATGTATAGCGTTATAATTACAACTAAACAGTACCGTCTTTACCATAAGGGCACATGGGGCCATTGCCCAGGGCCCCTATCGTCACGGGGGCCCCCGTGGTAGGGCCATCGGCCTTATTCGCTTATAGCTAATATATGACCTGGATTTTTTTTATTTTCGGCAACTTACGTATTTATATTCTATGAGATAAAAATATCATTTCGTACTGTTTAATAAAAATAACACTTCAAAAGATTTAACGGCAAATGATTTATTAAGTGATAATTATTATCAACCGCAATTAATAGATTTTATAGCAAATAATTGTTACGATCCTTATTTTTAGACAATTGAAGCCTAAATTTTAATTTAATAAATTAAAAGAATACACGTATTGTTGTTGAAATAGAATATTTTCCTTTTTTTTAAGAAAATTCAGGAAAGAAACATTAAAATTTACATTTTTCTAACAAATTATCGTCCCCGCAATGAGATCTGTCAAATATTTTACCTCATTGTAAAGTGGCGCCGCCCTGGTGGCAGAAAAAATCGTGGATGCCCTCATTAATTACATATTGTTTGATTTTACCAATTAACTATAATAAATATAAGATCATGGCAGAAAAATGTTTTTGTCATTCACTTTTTTACTTTCCAAAAGGGCCCCAAATTCTTTTGTGCCTAAGGGCCCCGGTATGGACTAAGACGGCGTTGCAACTACAGCCTATTTTAAAAGTCCACTGCTGAACAACGACCTCCCACATAGATTACCTTAAGAGTTGAGTCTTGGTTACCATTATTGGGGTGCCCATTATTTATTGATAGGCTTGAAACCTTAAGCTTAACGTAAGAGTCTAGGTATAAAGAAAAAAGAACTTAATATTTTAACTTAAGTAGGTCTCTTAATTTATTCATAAAAATGTAACGCACTTACATTAAACATAAGTAGTAACAAAAATGAGGGATATTTATTTATTTATTTATTCATTCGTTCATTCACTGTCTATACCAGTCACTACACGGTAAGTGGTATACATTCTAATTTATGATGTGATTTGTATAATCATTGTCAATACAGCCCTTCACAAGTCCACTGCTGAACATAGGTCTCCCTCACGGAACGCCACAAAGCACTGTCCTGAGCCACTTACATCCATCAACTTTCTGCATGTCTTACTAGTCAAACCACCTAGTGCGGCGGCCCCGCACGGCCAACATAGCTCGAAGAACCGACAACCGATGGGGAAAAAAGGTTCCCGAGTGGCAGCCTCGTACCAGTAAGCGTAGTGTAGGGCGACACACTAGATGGAGTGACAATCTGGTAAGATATGCAGGAAGTCGATGGACGCCGGTGGCTCAGGACCTTGATTTGTGGTATTCCTTGGGGAAGGCCTATGTTCAGCAGTGGATTTGTGAAGGGCTGTAATGATGATGATGATGATGAAATATACTCGTCAACAATTTCGAAAGTAGTGCCCCCAACAACTTACAGGCATAGGTGTGACGTGGACTTTACACATAGTCTTTGTTTTGTCCATGTTCATTTTAAGACCGTCCTCCACCGATTCTTCTATAAGGATTATATCGTCGGGGAATAAGATTTATATAATTAATGGTTTCTCGCAGAAACTTCTAATAAAACAAATCAAAACAAAAACCAAACTTCTAATTAAATGATATTCTAATTCTATTTTAAATGTTTATAGGGAGACAGACGATCAAAACCTTCACCTGTTCCTTTTCTGCCTCGTTATTAATCTGGGTAACAGTAAATAAACAGTTTATTCACTGCAATTTTTCAGTTTGAAGAGAAAGAGATGTTTTATCTAATTTATTTACACATCGGTGAACGAAAACATCGTAAGGAATCCTGCATATCTGAGGAATAAAATATTTTAATGTCATGTGAATTCCAACAAGTAATAGAGCAGCACTGTGGACTATTTTCTCCATAATCCTCTCATAAATGTGTTACAAGTTGTCTTAACTGTGCCTCTGTGCCGAGAGAGATGTAAATAAACTATAAATTTACTTACTCGTTCGTCGAATTACCTGAGACATCGCGCCACATTGGTCAGAACATCTCGATCGGTATTCAATGGTAGTGCAGCTAACAGTTCAGCGAGAGCACCGCTGGATACGAAAGCGTCCGCTGTTTTTGGGCCCCCGCTCGCTAAATTGCGGAGCGCGCCCGTCAACTGATAAAGAGCGTGCGTAGCTTCTTCCTGCACTTGTCTGGGTCTTTCCGCTTTCTATAAAACACATGCGTCAATAATTTCACCTTATTACAAAACGTAGCCTATTGGTTATCTCGGGTTGGCTATGGCTTAAGAAGAGTCTTATTTATTTATTTATTTATTTTATTCTTTATTGCACCAAAGATTTTGTACAAAAGGCGAGCTTAATGCTATATGGCATTCTCTAGCAGCTAACCTTGGGTAGAACAGAGAGTGAGTTATGGGCAGTAAAGATGTCATGATCTCATTCAATTCAAAATGTACCTGCTACACATACATATAATATATATACACATATATATTATATACACTTACACACACATACATATGTATATATACATATATATATACATATATACATACACATATACATATATAAATATATATCTCCATAAATTTATATACAAATAACTATAAACATATAAAGTAAGTGGACTCAAATTTGTTGGTTACGGATATATTCGTATAGTTTTCTTTTAAACACGTTTTTAGCAGGTATTATGCGCAGGTCAACAGGCAATTTGTTCCAGAGGGAGATGGAAGTTAATGTGAAAGAATTTGACATAAACCCAGAATGGTGGAGAGGAGTAGACAATAATAAATTGTGTGAAGACCGGAGATTGAGAGAATGAGTTTCACTAAGGAATTGGAATCTTTCTTTTAGGTAAAGGGGTGAGGAAGAATCATTAAGAACTGCAAACAAAGAGGACAGCATATAAGAGTCTTACTAAAGAACTTCGCCGCGGCACCACAATCTTAGCGAGTTTTTACGTCTGTCAAATTTCATACTTAACATTTAAGTTCGCGTATTCTCAACGGAAGAGCCGTGGTAGCTCAGATGGTTAACGCTCGCTATAAAATAACAGAACAGGAGTTACCCGGGTTCAATCCCCACCGGCACCAATGAAATTGTTAATTGCAATTTTAAGTGCTGATTTACCACGTGCTCGGCGGTGAAAGAAAACATCGTGAGGAAACCTGCATGTCTGAGGAATAACAAAAAAAATCAAAGACATGTGAAGTTCGCCAACACGCAATGGGGCAGCGCGGCGGACACTTCCTTGCCCTAAACCCTCTCAGAAATGAGGGGAGGCCTGTGCCCAGCAGTGGGACGTATATAGGCTGTAACCTTACCTTACCTTACCTTATTCTCAACGGGCCATTCTTCTTGATTAAAACAGTCTCCAATTCAAACCATAAAACAAACTGATTTTAGTCTTATATTTTTTGTACAAAATGTACAATTAATAAGTATTACATTTTGTAATAAGACCAATATATCCATTTAATTTTAAGGGAATACGTTCATAGTCACGTAATATTAATTAGCTGCTATGTATTTAAAAAAATAGCAAACTACAAAGCATATGATTATTCGATATTAGTGCAATTATCATTGAAAATTTTATGAATTTTCGATTGAGTGGTAAGATCGGTCAACGAAAAGTTAACATGCAAATTATCTAATGATATATAGATATCCAATGAGCTTATAATAAAAGACATTCTTTCATTTTTGAATGCAATATGTGTAGGTGAGTGAAAAATTAAAAAAAAGGCTAATACATACTTACTTAATATCATATTTAGTATGAAAAGTTCATAAAAAATCTAATTACTGCCTCATTGGTTGAGGTCATAAACGCAATTGCTGATCGTGTGGTCCCGGGTGTGAATGCTGGGTAATGCCAAAATCAGTAAATGAGTTTTTCTGTCAAGAAATATTTTGTAGTAGAAGAGTCAGAAAGTTAGCAGTGTTTCACTGCCATGCCTTAAATGGCACGTAATTTCCGTTCATCCCTCGTCTGATCTCTCACTGGTCGTGTCGGATCTCCGTCATGTCAGACTGCGAGCGTGAGGGAATATATAGTAGGAGAGTGTACCTGTGTTTGCGCACACTGCCGTGCACTGTAATCTTAGCCTGCGCAGACCAACTTTCGGTCACGGCGACAAGCCCTCTGCTCGAAAAGTTAAGATTACTTTATTATGTGTAACGCAATCGTTGTGCCCATGTTTGGTTACAAATAGAATCTCGAGTATAAGTATTTTTTTATAACATTTGTGTGACAAACGAGCACACAGTCCACCTGATAGTAATTGGATGCTGAAGCCCATAGACATCCACATTTATCTGAGGATAAAAGAATTAAGAATACAAATGCAAATGCGTTACCACCCCTGAGGACTAAGATGGGATGCCGCGTTTCCAGTAAAAAGGGTCCCCGGTTCTCTGCACTCACCATACGAAACACAGCAGCATTACGCTGCTATTTTATGCTGGTATTCTGTGAGAGCGTGGTCCTGCTCCGGTCGAGCCGACCCATTCTTGCTACAACTATATTCTCTCGACAAGTAGGTCCAGCTTCTATTTTTAAAATAATTAAGAATATTAGGGGTTACCTTCTGATATTGAATTTATTAAATTAAGGGAATTAACTTTTAATAAACAGTGTAAAAGTGAAATTTGAGTTCGATTTATGATTAAAATAATATCTACTATTCACCGTGTGCTGGCAGTGTAAGCGAATCCATCACCTTATTTAGTCCTGAACGTTTCATTACAGGCTACTACGGAATAGGCATGAAGGTCTCGTTACCTTATTGAATAACTACGGCCATATTTCAATTTCGTCTATCCAGATTCATCTCTTCACCTTAGTTACCTTACGTGTCACCTTAGAAGTGACCTACACTTTGCTTCTTAATCAATAATGTAGATGTGAAGAATGTGGGATGAACCACTCTCCCACAGAATACGGGTGTAAAATAGCAGTTCTATCCCGCTATTTTTATATGGTGATTGTATAGGACCGGAGACCCTTTTTACTGGATATGAGGCATTCCATCTTAGTTCTCGAGGTTACAACGTATCTCTATTTTGATTCTTAAGACGACACATCGAAAAAGTGGCTCAGGGCTAACGCCTTACTGATTCGAGTGAATACATAATTTCTATAAAAACTTTAATAGACACCGTTATAAGGTCTAAAATTGCGTAGCGCCCGCGACGATTAAAACCGCTTAGAGACTGTCAGAATCTTAAAATATTTAAAAAAAATTGATTTAAGTAATTAAAATAATGAGCAAGTAAATTATGAATATTGATATTATGAATATATTAGAGTGATTCCCAAGCATATTAGATTAAGTGATTTCGTTGTAATTTCAACTATAGTGATTTTTTAGAGGAGTTTTCGCAAATAATTATGATCAAAATTATACAATCGTGTTTTTGAACAAGCAAATTCAAGATAAAGACATGAATTTACCTATATCAAAATTCCAGTTTCGTTAGTGGTGTCATAGTTCTATACTATTCAATGCAAGGTGTGCGATGCAAGGTGGTGGATTTTTTCACGGTGTCGCCTTAATCGAGGATAAATGTAGATTTCTGTGGGCCGCAGCTTCTACTTACCATCAGGTGAAGTGTGTGCTCATTGTTCACCCTTATTTTATTTAAAAAATGTTTGTGAACCACCACTCTACTTGTGTAAGTGAACCATTTAGATTTAGTAAAACATTTTACCGATTAAATGTATAGCAACACTGACCGCGTTATTAAGTATCTTCAGATGCAATGCGGCCAAATGCAAGGCGCCGGCGCGGTGCGCGAGCGTGCAGAGTCGCGGTTCCAGCGCCAAGAAACGAAGCGCACCAGCTCCGTACACACAGCATTCGCTTTCTGCCAGGGGATCGGCTCGACCGCAACCCTCAACCAATAGTTCTGTAGAAGAAAATACCTATTACTTTCAGAGTTTCTCGTACACGAGCCAGGTAATTCTAAATCTAAACGCTAGACGCAGATTTCATAAAATGTATGTCAAATATTTTTAGTGCCTTGTTTGTTTAGTGGTCATTAGTGCGATTACTGATAATTTGGATCTGAGTTCGAATCCCACGTCAAGTCAAAACTAGTTTTTGGGGTTTTCTTCAAAAGTTCTCTTGCAGCCTGGAGGCAGGAAGTGGCCGATTTTTTTACCTACGTGCTTTGGAAGTTGGCACTATAACCCTGGCCTACGCAGAAGATCCCCTTTGAGACTTTAAATTGAAAAAAATTAAGAATGTAAAGTCCGCCATTTTCCTCTTCGAAATAAGAGAAGCCCCAAGCCTGTAGCCTAAGTCTGAGCAGAGTGACGTTTCCACACTTTAAATTTTAAAATTAATGATTTAGATCTATTATAATTACTATCAATAATTTAAGGTGAACTTTGCGCTGTAAAGAATTGAGTTCTTTCTTTTTAAAACAGTTCGATTGGTTTATTTGACCAACTTTTTAAACACTAACAGAAATTCAAATTATATGATGTAGTTGGCTTTGATGATGATGTCACCTAGACACGGTAAATTCATTTATATTGTGCCTACGTTCAGACAAAGTTGACCTCTAACGTTGAGCGTATTATGGTTGTGTAAGAATATGCACCACCTCATATCGTCACGTAGATGTCGTCAGAGATGATAAAGGGAAACGAATCAGGAGCTGAGCAGCAACGTCTTCATAATAACAATCAAAAAATATTAAATCTTATGTTGTTAACTCGCTTGCCAAGCGTGGCAAAATTGGAATATTTCATTCATAAAATTATTATACTACTGTACCGTATGGACCGGGTCATTGTACAAACAAAATGGCACCAACTCATTGGTGCAAAAAATCAAAATATTTATGGAGCACTAACGCAACCATCAATGCGTGCCGTACGTTCGTGCAGTGTTTTCACTTTTAAATTTTTTGCACAATTTTAGGGTAAATCTACTAATATAGGTAGGGCTTTAGGCGTTTCTTCAAGCTGACAGGATTTTGTATAATTTTGGGAAAATCAAACTTCAGGTAAACCTGATTTTTATTCCCACCCAATGTATTTTTTCGAAGATTTATCGAAGGGGATAGCGTCAAAAGAGCTAGAAAAGTTTTTCTTTAATAAATTATATAATAAATAGAATAGAATAACGTTATACTTTCACTCAGTTACATGTTCGTTATTTATATGAGACTAAGTGTTATTATAACTTGAAAATGAAAACATCTTCTTCATCACAAAACTCAAGTTTTTTAATCGTAAAATGATATTAAAATCTTGCAATGATGTTGTTATTTAAAATATTGAAAATTAGGTGCAATAAATAAAGCAATTTTGATTTTTTTTAGAATAATTTAGCGAATATTTCTACAGGTTCTAGTGTAATACCAAAATCATAAGTGAAAACACTGGTTCCGTGGTAGTTCATAAGTGTTTAAGAGATAGTGCTGATCTATTAATTTTTTTTTCGCACGGCCATATTATCTTGTCATTTATATCAATGATTTCATCTTATGAGGCTTCCCTATGGGCGGCCTACGATCCGCAGTCGACTTATAGGATTTTGGATAGGCTGTAACGGTATCTATCACTAATATTACAAATCAACATTACAGCCCGTAATATTAGTGATAGCTTTGGATAAATAAAAAAATAAACATTTTATATAATATTCGTAGATCTCATCGCACGGATCATCATTATATATCTGTGTAAGTTCTTTATCATATTCAATATACTGTAATGTTTTACCTAATAAGTTGCTATTTCTGAAGAAATGGTCATTCTTGTCGTTTCTGGCGATTTTGAAGACCAGTTTACACGCCGCTGCTAAATGTTTCCCAGTCACTCGCATCTGAAATTTTTCTATGTATTAATTATATACATCATTATTTTAACGTTAAGGGAAACATTTTATTTACATTTTACCACATTTCTATGTAGTAATTTTCGTGTTTGACCGTCTGTCTGTCGTTCTAGGGGGAATTCATTAATAGATTTTAAGCTAACTTCTTCCAAAATCTTTACATTTTTAATATAGCTAAAGTTCTGATAACAATGCAAGAATATGATATAATAATTTAAAAAATCACTTGTAATGTAGGTACTTTATCCTTGATGAGTTTGTAATAGTCTATGTAGGGACGATTTTTATTATAGGAGAGGGGGAAACGAACATACGGTTCACCTGTTAAGTGACTACCGCCGCCCATCAATAACTGCAACATCAAGAGGCATTGCAGGTGCGTTGCCGGCCTTTAAAAACGGCGTTCTTGAAGGTCCCTAGGTCGTATCGGTCTGGAAAAACCGCAGATGGTAAACTATTCCACAGAGAGGTCGTACGCGGAAGAAAACTAGTGAAACCTACAGTGGTGGACCGCCAAGCATCCAGATGGTGTGGATGGTATCGGGAGGTTTGCCGCGTAGTGCGTTCATGAAATTTGGCGGCTGGGATTAATTCGAACAATTCTTCAGAGCACTCCTCGTGGTAGATGCGAAAGAAAATGCAAAGAGATGCAACATCTCTTCGCAGAACCAGTGAATCAAGCCGATCGGAAAGCACTCGGTTTTCGACGATTCGAGTCGCTCTGCGCTGAATGCAGTCAAGCGGAAGAAGCTGGCACTGGGGAGTCCCAGTTCGGAGATGGGAACAGTATTCCATGTGAGGCCGAACCTGTGCCTTGTAAAGTTGCAGCCGGTGTGCCGGCATAAAATAATCCCGATCTGCCGAGCACTCCAAGCTTTTTAGAGGCCAACTAAGACTTCTCTTCCAAGTGACCACGAAACTGCAAGTCATTCGATATGTCGATGCCGAGGATTCCGATACTGGCTGAGGCAGCAAGGGGAGTGCCTTAAAACTGAGTAGATACGACAAAGAGGTTTTTTTTTGTGGTTAACACACAAACTTGTGTCTCCTGAGGGTTAAACTGGACTAGATTTAGTCGCCCCCAATCCGAGACTTTGTTCAGCAAAGACTTGACTTCAGACACGAGATTGTTCCGGTACTCGGAGAGGGTTTCCCGAGAAATATTGGCACGGCCCGTGTACAGAGCATCAGCAGCTGCCATCCGCGTAGCAATTAATGTTACCGGTTTGCAACATATCATTCATATGCAGAAGAAACAGCGTTGGTGATAGCACGCAGCCTTGTGGAATACCAGCATTAGAGGCTTGTAATCGAAACATGCACCGTCTGCAATGACCTTAATGCTCCGCAATCTGCAAGAAAGACGGTGACCCAATTACACAATTTCTTGAGAACCATAGGAACAGAGCTTCGAAAGAAGCGCTTTGTGCCAAACCCGATCGAAGGCCTTCGCAATGTCCAAACTAACGGCCAACGCCTATCGATGAATCAGGTAGACCAGAAGATCATCAGCTGCTCAAGTCACCTAATTCACAATTATGTTTGTAAACTCATCCATTGGATATTGTCACCCTGGTTGACATTGGCTGTATTAACATCAATTACCGTTAACAAAGCTCTTGCGATGGCCACCAGCACCCGTTCTTCTTCGCTATCGATGTGGACGTAGAGACATCGCAGAAGGAGTTCTCGTAGATTATTAGAAGGCGTTGTCTTTTCCAACATATTCTGCAGCTGTTCCATAAGGACCAGAATTCTCTCGGTGTCGGAAGCACGTTGCGATGCCAATGCTTCGGCCAATTCTAATATGGTCATACTAGGAAGAAAAAACATCAAACGTTTATTATACGTATAATAATTAACTTGGACGGCTCCGTAGAACGCTTGCAACAAAACAGCAATTACTTGTATGGTCTACTTGTATGATTTAATTTTTTTTTCTAAAACACCTTCATGTTAAATAAGGAATTTTTAGAAATAATACTAGTTTTTACGGAATTTCTGTCCTGTGTAAAGTTCTGTCGGACTGTCAGTCCCGCCCGTGACCATGAGTGCTGTAAAGCGTTCGAAACGTCGGGTATTTAAAAAGTTAAATATACGCGATAAATTCCGTAAAAACTAGTATTATTTCAATGTGTAGTGTTCGCGTAAATATAATAAATCATTAGGAATTTTTAGAGTGGGCAGCGACGTTTAAAAAATAAAATATTAGTAGTTTTTTTATAGGATAGGGTGACAAACGAGCACACAGTCCACCTGATGGTAAGTGGTTGCTGTGGCCCATAGACATCTACATCTATCCTCGATTACGAATCAAAATGCAGATACGTTGTCACCCGTGAGGACTAAGATGGAATGCCTCGTTTCCAGTAAAAAGGGTCTCCGGTTCTCTACACTCACCATACGAAATACAGCAGCATTAAGCTACTATTTCACGCTGGTATTCTGTGAGAGCGTGGTCCTTCCCCGGTCGAGCCGACCCATTGGTGCTCCCTGGAGTACATGATTGATAATTAAAAAAATAACCCCTGGGAATAAGGTGATCGCAAACATGCTGTTTCTAAATGTTTTCAAGCCTAATTATACAATATAATATAATGTTAATGTTGAAAAAAAGTTCCACTGGGTTTCTTGCTGGTTCTTCACAGGAACGAGGTTTTTTCCAAACCCAACATTAAAACTTAGATGACTGTCAATAAAGTATTATTGTAATTCATATTGAACAAAAATATCTTATCTCCAACATCCTAGTTATGAAGTTTTAGAAATATTCTTAACAGGATCACTGCTGAAATCAGTTTATAGCTAATACTGATGTACGTAACGCACATTTGATTCTTTTTTTATAACTCAGGTGAGGATCGAACTTACAGTCTATCTGATGATAAATAGTTACTGTAGTCCATGGACAACTGCAGATTACTTTAAACAAAAAAGGAAGATGCATTGTCTCTTCTGAGGACTAAGTAATCTCTCGCACTTTTCTTCCATATATACTTTGCTATAACTAAAAAAAAATATTATTTTGCTATAACCGGCCATATTTGTAAAGAAGGTTCAGAATAAGTAATATAGGCAAATGGTAAGGAAAAGTTAATTAAAAAAAAGTCGAACATTCTGTCCTTTTTATCTTTAAAATTCAAAATGCGTGGTAATGAATTATTTTAACTGAATTTACTGCGCACGCCGCACGCTGCTTAGTGATCGATCACTAAGCACGCACGCACATTTGTAAGGGTTGATCGGTAGGCAAAAACGTTGTTGCCCATAAATCACATCAAATTTGGGATAATTTGAAATAAAAGTAGAAGCCTTATAAGCTCGTATTTTCAAAAATTGTCATAACGGTATGTCATTAAATATATTTGAATTTAAGTTTAAAATTTAGCAACTCTGAAAAATAGCCCTGTAAAAGCGAGAGAGCTGTGTCAGGATTGAGCCAAATAAAAGTCCTTAGTATTTGCTGTCCATCAACCGTCCCGTGGATATTTTAAAATGCGATAAAGATAAATAATACAGCATCATCTTCCTGATAACAAATCTTAAATTAAAGAACTGCCGGGTTCCAACCCGCCTGCTAAGCGTGGCAAATATGGAAAATATTCCCCTTACAAGGGGGGCTTATTTAGGAAACATAAGTAAACTTTTACCTACCTCTCTGAGTGACAGACATGAGAGCTTATGTTAAATTATGTTATGTTTATTTACACCACGTGTAGGTGTAGCTTCAGTGTAATGTGTTTGTACCTTTCGTAGTTATCGAGGGACGTATTTGGCAATTGCAAGGCCAAATGCTTGACAGGAATATCACCGAGGACGAAACTTGTTCCAGTATCGCAAGACATCGACTTCGAGCTCGCATATATTCGCCGCTTGGTAACACCGCCATCTGTACCGAGTGCTGGAAAATTACGTTTTGTATGCCTAGATTTAGTCTGGTTTTATTAGATTATTTTATTACTAAAATTATTCCAATTAACCCCTCAGTCCCCTTAAAATTCTCATGCAGTCGCATGCGCCCGGCAAATCCCGAGCGGTCGCTTGCGACGGCACCCACGCGCAGCACTTAAATCATTAAAACTTATGTTTGGAGACTACTTTTCTATGAAAAAGTTTGGCATTATAAAATCTATACAAAATTCCCTATATAAAAGTCAGGTTTTAGTTCATTACAAAAAGACTGTTGTATTTTGATAACAGAAACGAAATATACCAAGCAGAATTTCGGCAGCGTGAAAATCACAATTATTTCGATAAATATTACCCGAAATTATTTATGTAAAAAGATAAATTATATTCACACAAAAACTTTCATTACAATTTTATAATAAAGCACTATACCAAAACACTAGAAAAATCCAAAAATCAACACAATAACATTCACGCGAAAATGGCGTACGAAATGAACGTAGATTATCAATAAATATCCATAGCATAACTATTTTTATTGCACTAGAGGATAGAAAATTTCATATTGTTTCTATAATGCCAAACTTTTTCACAGAAAAGTAGTCTCTAAATATTAGTTTTAATGGTTTAAAATGCTGTGGGTATGCGCAGTCGAATTCGACTGCTTGAATTTTGACGGAATAGCGCCGAGGTCGAATTCGACCGCTTGAATTTTGACGGAATAGCGCCGAGGTCGAATTCGACCGCTTAGGGGTTGAAGGTTTAAAGATGAGAATTTTTTTTTACATTTAGTTCCATGATGATCATTAGAGACGCCACTGGTGTTGAGATCGCAACTATTTGTATCTAACGGTCTGGTCACTGATATAGTTTTCGATAAGTTCGACGTTGTAGGAGACCCTGAAATAAAATATTAATTATATAATATTAATTGACTTTCTAGAAAAAGTATATTCATGACGATTTAAAAGTATAGGTCTAGCTTGACCACTATTTCAACTGACGGTAAGCAGAAGCGCAAAGGCTATAGTAAATAGATATTGCAAAGGCATACCTAGGTTTGGGCAAGTAAAGCACGAATCCCGGGCGCCTTTTAAGGCTCTTTACGCACTGTCGACTGGTCTGCCTTTCTATACTTTAAATAGGTGTTTACGCACTTAGTTACCGGTTGCCCGGGCGACTCGGCGACTCGCCGCGCAGTGGCAACCACAGAGTTTTGTGGCGACACCACCACACCTTTGGTGGCGACGCACAAGAGACTGCACAAATGTACTTGGAATACTATATAACGTACCGTCCACCGACAATAGGCCGGTTGTGTTACGTCGGTGTAGTGGTTTGCTTTTACCACTGAGACGTGGTAATTTAGTGGATCCGCTCCAGGTGACTCCGTCCCCACTACGCTCCGATTGCGCTTGACTACGGAACTGAAAGAACAAAAATCAAAGGCATTAAATTATTTATAGGTTATTTTTTATAAAATAGGGGTGACAAACGAGCACACGGTCCACCTGATAGTAAGTGGATGCTGTGGCCCATAGACACCTACATCTATCCTCGATTAAGAATCAAAATGTAGATGCGTTTCCATCCTCGAAGGCTAAGATGGAATACCTCATTTCTAGTGAAAAGGGTATCTATTGCCCTACATGAGTGTAACCGTATGCAACACACTGACTTTGAGCTGTTATTCTGTAATATTGGGGGTATTCCGCGGCACAGATTAACCCTAAAGGGGTGATCTGTGTTCCGCGGTCAAACCGACTCATTCATGCTATCACAATTATATAGCTGCAGCGTGGCTCTACTGCGTATTGACCAACGGCTTAATGTACACAAGGAGTAGGTAATATCGATTTTTCTAAATATCGTATTGGAACTATGTATCGATATTTGATATCGGAATTCAAAACACTATATTTAATGAACTTTTATTTTTATAAACTAATATACAATTGATACATTTCTTTATTTTCGAAGAGAGGTCAAACGAGCAATTGGGGCAACTGATGGTAAGTGTCGACCGCAGCCCATGAACGATCCGTGATGCTATATTTTCGTACAATATATTGTGAGCAAAAACCTATGTATGCTACATTTGTTATCGCAGTACGATTTTCTTAACAAAAGTTCCAAAACGCAACAAATAACGCCATAATCCATTGTTATCATAATATTCGTAACATAATATGTCATGTCAATGTAAATTATTATCTACACAAAAAAAACAGTAGAATAAAGTTCAAATACGCGACACCGAGGAATATAGTATATAGTGTTTTGCCCAATATATATTTTTGGGTCGGACCGATATCCAGCTTAAGATATTTTACCAATACTAAAATATATATACGTTTTATATAGCCCACTTCTAATGCATAACCCTGTATTTTCTCCTTATAGGGAACAAGTTCCGAATATCAGAAACAATCAACTACACATTACATATTATAATAAACGCACTAGGAAACATAAAAAGCACATAGGTATAGCATAAAATAATATTAACTCTAATGAGTTTTCAAAACAAAACTAATTATTACTCTATTATATTTAACACATTTGTCCTGAGCAACATGTGTATTCGATGTACTTTTGCGATAATATTGGGATTATACATTATGATACAAGAAAGTCAGACTTGAAAGTTGACAATTTGTTTTGGCTTTCAAAGCGAGTTATTGCGGCTTAGTAGCCAGTTCTTTTTTTTAATTTGATGACTTTTTTTCGATTAAACAACAAAGAGTTTGTCCCGCCGGGTGTTCGATTGTCCAAAAGAAGAGGAACCCAATAAAATATTCTACTTTCTACGCCATAGTTGCTTGGCAGGCGGTTGGGCAAAGGAAGCCTTTTTTTAAGTTCATATCAACGCTGTCTCTTACGAAACCCATGGAATGATATGGGATGTAGATCCCTACCATGACGCAATCTATGGGTGAGGCCTATGTTCTGCAGTGGACTTTTGAATGGCTGTAATAAATAAATGAAGATAATATGAAGACATGATGCTATACTGCTGGCCGTATGAGGAAGTTTTGATTCGCTCAAAAGACTTTGGAGAGGGCTATGCTCGAGGTTTCTCTGCGTGATAGAATCCGTAAGAATTATAACCGCAGTAGATTGAGATAAAGCAACATAGCCCAATGGATCAGTAGCTGAGTTAGCAATGGGCTGGCCATATCGGCAAACGAAGAGGAAGGAAAGTTATTGAGTGGAATCCTTGTACCGGTAAGCAAAATGTAGGGCGGCCTCTCACTCGATGGAAGCTCACGTGCAGGAAGTGAGTTTGAAGTGCTGATTGCGTCACTTACCGGAAAGACCAGATCAACGTCAGCCGGCCCAGCTAGTAGTAAATGATTAGGCCAACTAGAAATTTGTAGCTTTGTTTATAAATTGACTAAAATATACATTTGAATAGGCGAGCAAATGTAAAAGCATCGTTAAAATATTTACGCGAAACTAACATTGAAAAATACATTATTTATCCGTATATTTAACTTTCTTAAATATACGGATAAATTCCGTAAAATCTAGTATTATTTCATCGATTGTACTTATTTATATTTTATACATGGTCAAAACACTTTGCAACACGAATAGATCGACCGGAGAAGGATCACGCTCGCATAGTACCAATGTAAAATAGCAGCATAATTCTGGTGTGTTTTGTATTGGTGGGTCACTAGGACCGAAGATCATTGTTACTGGTATAGAAGCATTTCATCGTAATACTTGGAAACTTCTCCTACTAGATGGAGTGACAACCTGGTGATGGAAGCCGGATTTCGATGAATATAGGTATATTAAAGCCGTGGTTAATTCACTGGGGGAAGCCCATGTTCATTTTTTGACTTGTCACTGGCTGTAATGATGTTGATAATGATAGTTTCTACGCCACAGCATCCACTTGCCATCAGACAACGAAGAACGAAGAACTCACCGAATTATCATTCTTTGTTCCGTGTTTCAATTCTACTGTCTGCCCTCCGTTTAAATCTGTTTGATAAGTTACAATGCGGATCTCTGAAGCCTTATCCGGAACATCCTCACTGTCTTCTGAGAGGCTTAAATACTTGAGGCTGTTCAGAAGCGTTTATTAGTTGCAAATGCATAAACTGAATAATATGGGAGTCATAATTTTGTAAATGATATATAATACACACAATACAATATAAAATATATACATAGCTAACTATTTATTTTAACTTTAAACGAAAAGTCCAGACAGTTGCACTAATTTTATTTTTTACTATTTATTTCAATAAAAAGCCATGATGATGAGGGCAAACCCTCGCTACGATGCGAGATATTCACGTCCGGCAGTGGGCTTTTAAGGGGTGATGAAGACTAGAAAAAGATAATCTTTCGTCTATACTAATATTGGTTTCCACTCGTAGCATTGAAATTGTTAAACGCAATTTTAAATCATAGAATACTATAATACACAATAGAATGGCTGTCAACCTTATTTTGTACGAGGATCGGTGTCACCGGTAGCACATATACAAGCAATTACGTCGTATTATCACTGCTACAAACCCGATTCCCTGTGTTGACGGACTGAGTAAATTGACACATTTTAGACTTTTAATAAATGTTCAAGATCATCATTACAATCGTTTAAAATTTGATACATATTTATTTGTAAATAGTGTGCAATTTGGCATTTTCTAAATAATTTGCATGCGAAATTTGGAAACGATTGTAACGTCAAAACGCACTCGTGTTGACATTTATACGTGTGAATTGACATGTTAGTGACATTTTAGTGGCTACACGGGCTCCGCCCATTCCCCCGTTCTATTAAGTATTTATTACAGTATTCTACGTTTTAAATAGCGACTTTCTGTTTTACGATTAAAGAAAATCCAGACGGAGATTTACGCACTATTACAATGCGCAGAAAAACATCTGCATAAAACTACATCAATCACGTTATAGTATACGATTACATAAACTACGTCAGTCTAGCAGCACTACTAGCACTAAGTCCGAAATTACTGACCTTAAAACTAGTAGGAGGCTACGTGAATCATCTAAGTACTATGGGACAAGGCAAGGTCAAGGAAACAGAAAAGAGTTTTATTTTAGAACATTGGCACTTCTTATATGTTTAATAATATGTTCGTTTCGTTCGATTGGCTAAATTACTTTGTAGTCATAAATCATAGAAAAGCGAACGCTGTGACAATTTGTCATAGATAAATAGATATACATGTATAAAGAAAACTATAATAAAGAAAAACTAAAACATTAAATGAAAGCGCAGTTCTTATAAGTTAAGGTAACAAAACCTTACCCAGGGTACCTGTTCTTTGGGAACCACTCTGTTCAGAGTATGGTAAAGCTGACCTAAGTAATCATAATTATATATCGCTTGTCTGTGCCTAATTAGCGCTATGTGCCATATTATATAAATGTACGCGGCCCAACCGCACCATAACCTACTGTCGCTCATATTAATATATGTGTGCAATTTTGTATTAGACGCATCAGCTGAGTATCATTCAGGACGGTCGTTGAACAGCGCCGCATAGTAAAAAGTCTACGTTGTTAACTGAACAGCTAATTAAGCTGGCTGGCTGCGTCACATACACACAAACAAAGATGATTAAAGAATCTGATCAAATATAGGGAATGTTCCGAAATACAACCCAGTACACTGGCAAATGCAAATGACGTCATCAATAGACACTATATTGTACTGACGTGCCGCCGCCATATTGCGTCGGATATCCGGCCATAATGAAGCTTGCCAGAATTTGTTTTTATTTATTCAAATACAAAAAATTATTGAATAATTGCTGGTATCTCCATTAGGAAGATATAATGATTTATGGAGCACAAAATGACAAAATAATCGCCAACACTTTTCCAATATGACGTAAATGTATGACGTCATATACTGTCCTATCTTTTGGAACGAATCACCAGTATAGCGTCGATTCATGACGTCATTTGCATTGGACAGTACACTGGGTTCTATTTTGGAACATACCCATAGTTTCATGTGCTCCTTACTCAAAAGCACTAGGTGGCCTTTGTTCACGCTTGCGTGCTCTGTCTGTAAACAGAGTTCGTTGAGGCTCGCGCGGTGTGAACGGGCGACGCGTACGTAATGGACGCAAGGCACCTACACTGGACCCACCGGAGCTGTTGTTCATTTCTGTAACAATAAATATTTTAAAGAATTAATTTGACAAACATAAAGTCCACCTTTATGTACGTGTATATGCTATGGCCTTAGACAACAAAGTATTAAACAGTCTTCAATTATGTATGAAAACGCAGACGTGTAGTTCTCAATATCCCAAGGACTGAGAGAAAATTTATCGTTACCTCTAAACCTGAAACCTCGTTACGTGTATGATTCACATCACTTTCGAGCTGACTTTCTGTGTGAGCGTGGGCCTACCCTAAGCAAGCATGTTGACCAACGATATCACATTCCATCCCATGGTGATTGCCACTGCGTAGTTTAAATAATACCTATGACATTTAGATTTAATAAAGCTAGGAATTCATAAAATGTATATGAAGTCAAACTTTTATAGGCATTGCTAGAGCCAACGTCCGCGTCCATCATCAGATCAGTTCCACCATATTCATTGCATTGTCGTTAAAATTAAATAAAAATGCCAAATTTTAGTTCATCGTATGTAAACAAGTTCTTCGAAAACTGATTACAAATATCTGACTAAAGTTGTGAAGAATTACTTCGCACACATTGGGTGCGTTAGGCAGAAAAAAGCGCTAGCAAGCGCTTGTAAGCAAAATGGCGATCGTAAGCGATAAGCGCTGTCAAATCGTAAGTAGCTATTTTCCTCTAGGACACGAAATTAGTTTTAACCGGGGAGCTTAACCTAATTTAAATATATGTTTGTAAAGTATTCATATTAAAAACTTACCAATTATGAATTTTTAATAACATGTACAATATGTTTATTCATGTCATTATATTACTTAAAACTAATATTGCACAAAACAACTTATAAATTCTATTTCAAAACAAACAAAATAAATAAGCAAAATGGCGGATTGTGTCAGCGCTACCGCAGTAGCAATCGTGTCCTGGCCGAAAACTATTTTAGCGCTAGTAAGCGCTTGCTAGCGCTTTTTTCTGCCAAACGCACCCTTTAGCTCAATAAAATAAAATGGCTTATGTTTAACTTACCACTAGATATAGTAACATATAACATACAAAAATAGTAAATGATCGACAAAATTAAACCCGCATTTTAATATAAAATTATGACCAAAGTTTTTACATCTTGATATCCTATTTAAGCAAACTGACTCAAAAAATCATTATTAACCCAAAAATAGTTAATGAACACCAAATTATTAACGACATTTCAATATAAAATGACATGCAAAAAATAACATCTCGTTATCCGATTAAACTACCCTCGGCAAAAAAATATTTTGCCAAACATAATAGGTAAATAAGCTCTTAACCTTTTAAGTGTTTCGTTTATTCAATCAAATGCTATGCCTAAGATAAAAAATAAAACTCTTACAATTTCAATAATCCTTTTTTTAATTGTTTAAACAATCATAAAAAAGTTAGTCCTTCAAAACCTAATAATAAAAAGTTTAAAGATCTTAAAACCAAACTAATAATAAACATTTAAAAATCTTAAGAGGAATCAGTCTTCTGTAATAATTTACTGCACAATCAATGCTTTCTTAGCTTTGGCTGGTCGTCGTCTTTTGCGCTTCATGTCAATCGGAATAGCTCTCGCCTCTGAAGGTGGCTGGACGTGCTTAAGCCGAATCGCCAATCCAACGAGATGCTTGCAAATGTAATCTTTGGGCAATTGTATGTGCCGTGTAATCAATTTTCCTTTTCTCGGGGCAGTATAACTTCCCACTATCTAAAATGTTGCTCTTTATATTCGTCAAAGGTCTCTCTTTTTGCAACTTAAATCCGACCCAGCTGGAATTCTGTATGAGCAAACTAGCTCAGTGCTATTATTTAATGGCACCTGCTGCGACAGTTTTGCCCATTAGTAAATTAATATGGCATCATAATACTTTATTTGGTAATAAGCTTACATTTTATGGCAATCACAGTGGTTTATTTAGGCAGAAATAGCGCATTAATTTGATCGCGCAGATTTGGTGATCATTTACTACATTTGGTGTTCGAATACAATTGGCGTCAAGTATATATTTTTGGTAAAAGAACTAAGCGTATCAAAGCATTTTATGCTGGTCATTATATTTAAGCCCAAATAAAATCATGTGTCTTACTCTTCAAACTAGGTAATACACATTTTGTTTTATTGAGCAGATGTATGCGAATTAATTCTTAACAACTTTAATATAATAGATTCCTGTAAAGTAATGCCTGATTCTATTAATTTAAACTTTTGACTGGAAATGTAAAAAGAAACTATGAAAGCAAGTTAATGAAAAGCTTGTAAAATTATTCGAAGCCTTCTTCGGACCCTTCACCTTAGGTTGCAAGTTCAACATCATTAAATCCTTCAGCAGATTTACGATACTTTAGTAGTCAAAGAAGACTTAAAACGTAAAGTCACGAAGGTTCACTACACTACTATCTACAGTCCACTATCACTCTCACTACAGCCCATTACAAGTCCGCTACAAATGGTAGACCACCCTCAAAGATTGCTGCGACAACTACGATCCAGATTGGGGGTGGAGGGGGGGGGGCATGAGGTTACAGTTGTTTTCCTTTTTTAGTAACTTATCGGACAGCTAGTTGTATAACAATTTTTTGTCAAACGCCGATAGTTTGTAAAATAAACATTTGCCTAGTATTAAAGCTACAAAAAGAGTTTTAATATGAGAACTATATAGCGTCTAAATATATTTGTTATTTCCCCTAGCAACTGCGTAAGCAACAGCATTCTAACGATCGCAACCTTTCAGTTCAACCACCTTGAAGGCAAACGTAAATCTTTCCTCAAATTACCGTTTCGTGCGATTGGCTAAATTACTTTGTAGCCATCAATCATAGAAAAGCGAACGCTGTGACAATTTGACATTGATAAATTGATATACATGTATAAAGAAAACTATTATAAAGAAAATCTAAAACATTAAATGAAAATACAATGACCTAATTTAAATTATAAGTCATTACTATATACATAACATTCCTTCACACGTCGCAGTCATGGTTTTTTTTTTAAAATAATTTTACATCATTCAAAGTATTTCCTGAGGATGGTTTTCGGCATACATGTATATTTTGTGTAAGCATAGTAGAAAAGTGTTTGAATCACACCCATGCCACGCCAGATAATATCTATAGTTCGTGCCAAATCGATTGAGAAAACGGAAATAGACCTTTCGGTCGTTTACCCAGGGATTACAAACCTTCAATATATAGGCACTTTTTATATGTAGTATTTTCTTTATTTATAATGATTTTTTTATAATGATTGATATAATATATATTTATTAACTATTATTAAAAAATTATGTAAAAGATCGCTATAGAAAAAAAATCATCTATTGTTATAAAGTACTTTATCCATTTAACAACAAAAAGCATTAATTTCTAACACATATAAAGGTTCGAGTGATAACGAAACCGAATAAGTACGTTCTTATTCAAAAGATAAAACTTTATTTTCAATATTATATAAGAACTTTATTTTTATTCGGTGCATGCTGACTGGTCCAAAAAAGTGACACATCTCTGGTTTAGAATGAACTGACGTAACGCGCGTTTTATTTATTTTAAAGGCATGAATTTGCAAAAACTCAATATGGTGATTATATTGCTTCAAATATTTTTTTTAATATGAGAATGTTATTAAATGAATTGCTGCGTTACTTACCATAAATTGAAATACAAAATATAACACATTTTTCGCGATGTACCGTAAGATTTTACGATGTTTATAGGAACCACAGACAATATTATTTAAGAAACAAAAAAAACATATGTGCTGTCCTAGAAGTGTGAATAATATCAATATTTAAATATTGTTATCACATCTAAATTGAGATTTTCTAAGTTACGCCTTTTGACACTCGGCTCATATCTGACGTCCGTTTTTCTCAATAAATTTGGGACGAACTATAGCAAGAATGTAAAGCAAGATGTATGGCGTATTATTTTACATATCATCATCATTATCATCATTACAGTCTATCAAAGCCCTCTGTTGAACGTAAACCTTCCCCATAGACATACGAATATTGCTTTATAATTATATTTTCTATAGCTTGCAACCGCATTTTGTCAGTTAGTATCAGGAATATGCTGCTACATAATTCGTTCAGTTTTCCTTTGACGCCTCTAACACACTTCTTTGTAATATAAGGCATAAAAACTCCTGAAAATACGTTATTATGACGTCAATTGCTACAAACATGTTTCATTTTTCGTGATACGATGCCGTTCGTTTACCCCACACGACATTGGCATGGTGAAAGTTAATTTTATGGTAAATCTCGATAACGCTAACCCATAAGTAAGTGCCTTAAAATACTATAATACACAATATATTATAATATTCTATGGTAAGTGCCGATTGTAAGTGATGTCACGTTGCGTTTTTGTGGGACGCCTAAACGATAACGTTCCGGTATCCTACATAATATAAAATTGATTAATTTTTATCTTAGATAAAAAAAATTAGTTTGTATTTAAGACTATTGTTTTTAATACGCATGCTGACACTTATTCTGCAGTAACTGTGAATCTGAAAGCGTTTCTTCTTTGTTTGACCGCCTCAGTAGTCTAGTGGTAGCAAGTACGACTACTGATCATGTGGTCCTGGGTTCGAATCCCAGGTCAGGCGAATCAGTTATTGGGTTTTATTGCCAAGAAACTTGCAGTAGCAGCCCGGAGTCCGGAAGTTGGCGGCGTTTCACCCCCGTACACCAGAAAGCAAGTAAAGCGGTTGGTAAGGCCTGACCTCTCTCCAGCTATGTCGGATTTCCCTCTAAAATTTTTCGTATTCTCACGCTGCAACAATTATTATGGTTGCAGTATGGCTAGATCGGGGAAGGCTGTCACTCTCACAGAAAACCAGCGTAAAATAGCAGCTTTCTTTGTGTTTGTATGTTGAGTGTAAAGAACCGGTTACCATTTTTACTGGTAACGAGGCATTCTATTTTATTCCTTAAGTATGACATAAGTGTTTATGGGCCACAGTATACACTTACCAACTCACTCACTTATATTTTACAAAACAATAAAACTGTGCGATGCGACACCGGAGCGGTAGAGCAATCAATCTTGTTTATTCCTTTTCGTCTACATGGTTTTTAGCGTGTTAATGGTTTTTTAGCCTGCAAAAAAGCTGATTGCGTGGCAAATCTGTCACTAAATGAATGAAATCATTGTGTTTCCAGGATCTTTTTAACAGTAGCTGTCTTATAGCCCGTTTATGTGCCCCTATAGCTTCTCTTATATACTGCCCACATAGTTATCTTATCGCCTAAATCCTCACGGTGGTCACCCTAAATGCAGAATTATGAGGTTCCAGGATACTTCGGCACACTAAGACTAATGCGCATTGTACTTGTCGAGTGCTTTGTAGCCGCCCTAATATTAAATATTTTAATTACACATACCATCAAATATAGCAGCTCGAGCTTCACTGATTATCTCAGCGGAGGTCTTTCGTCGTGGCGGAGCGTAGAAAGGAGTGCCCGCACCACGTCTCAAACCTCTATCGGCCATTGCCAAAGCTATAACAAATAAACATCATTCATTAACACTTGTCCATATATTTTTTCAGTGGCTAGAGAAAAGAACGTACTACGGTAAGAAGTATGTGATTTTTGTTACTATTTCTTTTGTGTTTATCCGACTGTGACGGAGCCAGAAGTAAGGTAATTTTTACACATAAAGTACAAAGGGGGGCTTGGCGACTTAAAGCGTTCTCTACCACTCAACCTACAAGTAAAAAGGGAACAGTATTTTTGGAGGTGCGGTAAGATTTATAAAAGAAGTTTAAAGATCAACAGAATAAATTCAGTTTGTAAATACATAATAAACTGAATAACTTAATATACATTTATTGTATATACACATTCAAACACACTTATACCTATACATATATAATATACATGTATCGCATTTTTATATATATACTAAACGATTTTCTTACCGTCTAGAAATAAATAGGGTGTAACCGCGGCTCCACATTATCGTCGTGGACCTCCGTCAACAGGCGTGAACGTGAATGTGGGTGGTTTTCGCGGGATTCACGCGCGTTTCACGCCTGTTCCCCGATCAGTGTCGGTAATTTGGTCCCGCGACAAAGGATTCAGGCACCCTTCGCGCGGCGTTCACGCGTACACATCCACATTCACGTCACTGTGCCAGTTCGTTTTGGACTACAAAGGCGTACGGACGATTTAATTTAGTCATACACCATCTTCTTTTTTTCTCAACGCTTTCTAATAATTTTTTGTTTTGGACGTCTAAATAGTGAGTAACGAGTATGTTGCCACAGCAAATTTTTTTTATTGGACAGGGTAACAAACTAGCACACAGTCAACCTGATGGTAAGTTGTTGCTGCGGCCCGTAGACATCTACATCTATCCTCGATTACAAATCAAAATGCAGATGCGTTGTCACCACTGAGGACTAAAATGAAATGTCTCGTTTCCAGTAAAAATGGTCTGCGGTTCTCTACACTCACCGTACGAAGTAGTAGTAGTAGCATTAAGCTACTATTTTACGCTGGTATTCTGTGAGAGCGTGGTCCTTCCCCGGTCGAACCGACCCATTCGTGCTACAACTATACTACTAATATAACTGCAGCATTGCTCTAACACGTATAAAATATATAATAAAAATATAATAAATAAATAAAGTTATTGCAGCAGCAGCTTCTACGTCCGTTTCGCGGCGGGTTTCACGAACGATTGTGAGCATCCCGTGAATGTGGAGGGCACGACTTGTGCCGTGAATTCACGGCGATAATGTGGAGCCGCCATAACAGATGAACGGAATAGAAGCCTGTGGCAATAATATTTTACAATTTTTTTTAATTTTATATTAACTTATTATGGTATTGATCTATCATTAAATACTACTAATTGGGTACGTATTATTTTAATTTCGATAGTTTTTAATTGACTTCTTTATTTAGTTCGAAAATTTTGTTGTTATTTTTTTAGTACTACCGAAAGTTTATTTCAAATTATTAGTATTAACATAATATGAAATTGGTAGATCGATTTCATAATATGTTAATGTATTAATTGTAAAATATCAGTGCCATAGGCTTCTACTCCGTTCACTTGCTACACCCTATTTTTTTTAGACGGTAAAAACTTCACCCAATATATATAATATACAATACGTAACATAATTAACGCACACCCTCAGACACCCCAATTAGTATATTATGTTATAATCATAATACATGCACTGAATTTTTGGTTAAACATTTTTATGCATTGATTATTTATCAAATTAGTTATACTAATTCCGGAAGAATGTTGTGGTGTACAAATCCACGAACGCAAAGACTTTAACGTGCTTGAAGTAAAGTTCATTTTTCTTTATTTTTATTAAATGACAGAATTAGTAATAATACAAATAAAACTGCACTCTTAAAAGTCTTATTGCCTTAAGTTACGGTCCATTTCAGTATGTTTTGACTGTACAGATGTAGTGTGACTGTAATTTACGTAGTTTTAATTATTTTTGGGATAAAAAATTACCTATATTAAAAATGATAGGAATCGATTCAGTAAACGATTCTGAACAAACTACTTTCTCAAAGTGCGTTAATTATGTTACATGTTGTATACACGAAACACATATTATAACTATATATTCACGTACAAAATACATAGATACATTAATATATACAAACGGCGTATTATAAATATATATGCCCTAACCAGTTTTTATAAAACAATACGAAACGAAAATTAAACCCTAATAATGAGTGTCGAGAAACATGATGACCTCTTATTTAAATGAATAGGTAGCATGCACAATATGCCTTTTTTAAGTCCGGCCGTAACTTCTATTGCCATATATTGTTTTATATGTTGAATGTCAGTGTTATTACTTATTACAAACTGTGAGTCAGTCCATGTAAGTCTTCGGAAGACTTTTTGTTTTATGTTGTTAGATAACCGTAGACTGTGTTATCAACTTACCATCCAGGTAATTATTACCTCGTTTATTAGTAAAATGTTATACTAAACCAATATTCTAACACGATCCGAAACTAAACGAAACTAAAAATGCAAAACCTCTTGAAAGTTTGGACTTAGTATAAATAAAAATATACGGGGAGTACTTCGTTATATTACTATTATTTATGTTAACCACTCCAAATATGATGAAATAAATAAATAATTACTTAACTATTTGTTTCTCTGGACATTGACATGGGTATCTTATTTAGAAATTCTTGCCTTCAACTCATATAGAAATTAATGTTAAAATTTTAGTCATTTAAAATAATAAAAGTCTTAGTAATGTCCCAATGCTGTCCTTTCGTTTCTGAGAGTATTTGAGTTAAAGTTATATTAGCATTATTTTCAACGCATATCCCGGAACTATCTACACTAAATTTACATTCAATCTACGTAGGTATATAATAAATAAACACCTCTTACCAAAAAATTATTCAACAATTAGAACGCGTATTGTGTGTCATGAAGATAAAAAAATATAACACGCAAAATACTAAAATAGTTTGTTTCGCCTAAGCCTAAAGGGCGGGCGGCGCGCTACGAATCACAAGCCTAACTGTTTATGAACATTCGTAGCGTAGTACGGTATACGTAGTCGCGTAGCAAGGGGATTAAAGTAATAAGTAACTTGTGGGATCTGGTCTGAAATTATGGATCTTAAAAAGGATCTTCAAAAACTTCCTAGCTTTCATAGTTCAACTACAAAGCTTCAGTTGCCAATGTCTGTCATTTTTACAAATTTCTTGTAATTTCTTTAAAAAAAACGCCTATATTGTATGTAATCTTTCAAATGACAAAAAGAGGACCTACAGAGTTTATTTTATCCTTTCTTTTTCGGTCAGAGAACCTCATTTAAAATAGTAATATACTAAAATATGAAATTTTACAAACGAATTTTTAATTCTTATTAGAAAACAAAGGTTTTGCAGTTGGGGACATCATGCACATTAAAATCAAAATGTTTAAAAATTAATAAGTATTTATCTTTAACAAACAGAATACAGGTTTAAAGTTAAAGTTACAGCCTATATACATCCCACTGGTGGGCACAGGCCTCCCTCATTTCTGAGAAGGTTGTCGGGCAAGGAAATGTCCGCCGCGCTGCCCCAATGCGTGTTGGCGAACTTCACATGTCTTCGAAAATTTTTTTTACTTATTTCTTTGACATGTAGGTTTCCTCACGATGTTTTCCTTCACCGCCGAGCACGTGGTAAATCAGCACTTAAAATTGCAACTAACAATTTCAATGGTGCCTGGCGGGGATCGAACAGGGGTTGCTCGCGTACTGTGTAATTTATAGCGACCCCTAACCATCTGAGTTACCATGGCTCAATAAAATATAGATTTTCGATCTGCAAATAAAAAAATAAGAAATTTCCAGATTCAGCATACTTAAGTATATAAACATTTATTCTTACTTATATGGATCTACATACATACGGGTATACACATAAGTACAGTATTAAAATAGAACGTAAAGTAACAAGATCATGCATATTCTTTTTGAACGACGAACGACGTTTTAAGACGGAAAAAGTATACTGTTTTTTTTTCATATTCTTACATTGTCATCCGATTCTCAGCTTTGATCAAAATTACACGTCTCTTGTCTAGCTCGTTGGGAAATTAGTTTAAAATCAATTACTTAATTCGACCTGAACAGATATACACGAAAGCGAGTTAATAAAAACTTGGAAAAACTTGTTTCCGTTTATCGCACACTGCTTACCTCAATGTTTCAGTAATAAACTTGTGCCTTACAATAATTCTGATGAACTGATGATGATGATATAACGGTGAACAACCGTATATTGTTCGTTTATCGCTGATCTTCTCGTGTAATCAATGACATCCTGTTTTCGCTGATAATATTATTAAGTAATCAATGACATGAACCGATATAAAAATTATAGAATAATTTTGAAATGAAAGATATAAGACTGTTAAAAATACAGTTTCTGGTTTGAAACTCGGAAACTAACAACTTACATAATTTTAAAGTAAAGTGTGTAGTTTGAAAGTAAAGTTACGGCCTTTAAACATACCAACCACTACTGGGCCTGGACTGTAAATTACCATGGCTCTCTAAAATAAGTTACTTTGTTTTCTTAAGTCATGGATTCGTAAGGTTATAATTTTACCAGTGTTAAGTAATAAGAAATTATCCATAAAATATTTTGTTAGAAAAACACAATATGCTGATGCGGTACATTACGAGTTTTTTGAGAGATTTTGACAACAGTTTGGGGCGAAAATATCTCAAAACCTCAAGGTGTCTAAACGAGCTAAATAACTTGACATTTATATAGAACTTTTTTCGTCGCAGACACTTATATAGAAAATCGTATCACTTTTATGTATTAAAATACACTGCAAACAATGAAACAGGAGCTATAATCCATCCGAAAATCCGGCCAAAACTTTAAAAAAAGTTTTAAAGCAGTATTTTATTATTAGAACCATTTTCATTTTTTTTATTTCATCATTGTCAAAGGGAGAAGTAGAATAACAAA